CTTTCCTACCTTTTTCTGACATCATCCTCCCCTTAAAAAAAAAAAAAGGCTCTGATGGGGAACGGTTAAAAGTAGGCTAGTCCAGTCCCCCGTATTACATTGTCCTGTGCCAATGAAGCATGGTTAGTATCAGCCCCCAGAGAGCTTTGGGGAGTGCAGGGAAAAGGGTGTCTAAACTTTCCTAACTCGTCCTCATCCTGAAGCATTTTCTCTTAGATTGTGTTGTTTTTAAAAGAAAGGCTTCCGTAGGGGTGAAGAGGATGGGGAGAATGGTAGAAATCGTGGGGAAATGATTGTATTTATTAGCTGTCTTTCTGCGGCTGTCCCCATGGAGACAATTTGTGATGGCAAAGAATGCAAGGAGGGGAGGCTGATGCCTGATTGGGATGCTTTGTATTTGGCAAAGTGGCTTCTGATTGGCCTGGGAGAGCCCCGAACTCGCCGGAGTCGATATTCATTCAGCTTGCTCAAGTGCTTGCTAAACTGCATCCAAACACTGGCGGGCCCTGGCTGCCTCCGCCGAGGTTGGCGGTGTGTAACCTGCCTAACGAGATTAGCAGGGAAGGGGCTCTTCTCTGCAGCGACGCGGCCGCCAGCACCGGTGAGAAAAGCTGCCGCGCGCCGGGTGAGTGTCCGTGCTTGCTTACAGGGAGGCCACCCCGGCTTCTGCCCACTTCAGAGCTATCTAACAAGATTAGGCGCCGAGCTGGCTGGCATTCATGAGCCAGTCCCCGTGCCGGTGTGTGCTGGGGCAGCAGTGCGGGGCGGTGGGCTGCGGGCACGCGTCGGCTGCGACAGGAGTTTGCCTGCAAGGAGGCGAGCTGACGGACAACTTGTTTGGGTGGCTGAGAACTTTGACACGTCCCCCCACCTTCCCTCCATTTGCTTGGTGCTATTTGAACCAAAGCTTCTTGCTCTTAAGTCTGCCCGTCATGTTTTGCAGGTTTGCCAAGGTTTGTCCAAAGGCGGATTATAAACTTTTCATGAGAAACTCTGCACGGTGCATCCAGTGAAATGGCATCAGACAGTGAGGTAAAAACCCTACTGAACTTCGTCAACCTGGCCTCCAGCGACATCAAAGCGGCTCTGGATAAATCAGCTCCTTGTCGCCGGTCAGTTGACCACAGAAAATACTTACAGAAGCAGCTCAAGCGGTTTTCTCAGAAGTACTCACGGATGCCACGGTGTCACCCCAGCAAACCCCCTGAGTGTGGCTGGCGCAGGGGGGCAGAGGATCGAGGCCATGGCCCCCAGCCCGAGGCACCTGACCCCAGCCCCCATGGTGGGGCTGCCGCCGAGAAGGTGATGCAGACAGCCGAGGCAGAGGAGAGCCTCACTGGGGAACGGGTTTTGCAGGAGCAAAAACCTGAGGCTGTCCGGCCAGACCAGGTGCCCATGAGGAAGCGACAGCTCCCTGCCTCCTTCTGGGAAGAGCCACGGCCAGCTCAGAGCCTGACAGCCAGGGCCTTTCCTGCCAGTCCTGAGGGGCTCCCAGCCCCCAGAGACCCTCCTCCCTATGAGGGGAAGAAAAGCAAATGGAGCCCAGATGCTGCTAGCCCAGAGAGCCCTCCTGACCCTGCACCACATGCCGGGGAGAAGGACCCTGCCGGGGTCCTCTCAGGCCGGGTGGGTGCCTGGACCTGCTGCCCCTTCCCTTGCCCCGGGACAGGGGTGTACCAGCCCCCGGGAGCGCTGCCCCCATCGCCCTTCCCAGGGCTGGGACTGTGGAGGAAGAGTGCAGCCACACTGCCGGCGGAGGTGCCACACTTCTGCAAGGAGGCCGATGGCACGGGGCAAAAACTCTACAGGCCCATGGTTCTGAAACCCATCCCCACCAAGCCTGCCATCCCCCCACCCATCTTCAATGTTTTTGGCTATCTTTAGCGGGGCAGTGTCAGAGTCATGCTGAACACGACAGCTCCTGAGGGTGAATTGAAACGCCCGGTCAGCCACCAGGCATGAGCTGCTGGCAGCGTGGAGCGGCAAGGGAAGGAGACCAGTGATCACACCCTCTTCCTCGTGGGCGGGCTGGGGGGAATTAGTAACTGTTGGGAAGCTACTTGGGCTCCACTCTCCTCTCAGTACGCGGGTGTAAATCGAGAATAAACCTTACGAAGCCGGTGGCATGGAGCATGAGGCAAACCAGGGCTCTTTCATGGATGGGCATTGTCTGAGGCGCGGTGAGCGGGGCTGCAGGCCATTCATAGCTGCACTTGTAACACCTAGGAGACCTCCTCCATGTGGGAACATCTTTCTGGGGCTACCCTGCAGCAGCAGCAGTGAAATGACATGAATTAAACCCATTCAAAAAGTTTTTGTACTTTAAAGTCATTCCGGAGAAGTCAAGACATTCAGGTCACTTGGTTTTGCATGCAGGAGACTGAAAGGACAGTATTTAATGTAGAAACCACACTTGTGAATGATTTAAGCTCTTGTTGTATGTAAATACTGAAAGAATTAAAAGAAAAAAATAAGGGAAGAAAGGAGGTTAATTTTATTTTGGTGATTCTGCAAATGCAGTCTGTCTAATTTTATCCCAGGGAGTAGACACAGGTTTTATTTGCAACTGGTGGGGAGATATGAGGGCTGAAATCTCTGCCTATGCAGATTGATATAAACTTAAAAGTAATTCTGATGCTGGGAAATTAGCTAGCATTAAGCTGGTGCAAATGGAAGCAGGATGAATTCCCACATCAGGAATTACTCTGCACTAACAGAACAAATGAAGAATTGTATTAGTTTAATACAAAACCATGAAGTATGATAGAAGGAAAAAAGTGTAAAGAACAGCCTGCCTTGATTTCTGGCTCACAGATGTTTTTTGTTTTGCCCGATTTTAAGATGCTATCCCAAGACCTGGCTGTAAATGTTTTGCCTAGTATTTTCCTAATTATTTCAACAAATTGGCATTGAAGAATTTATTACAATTTTTTTTAAAGTTAGGTTTCTCTTAAACCCATGGCGAAAGTGTTACTAAGACACAGAACATGAGATCTGAGATGTTTAATATTGCAGGTGTATTTATCTATTCAGTTATACTGGAGTATATCACTGAAGTCAAAAGAAGAATATTTTGAGGGGTAAAAGGGCCAGAGAATGGACACCTGTGATATCCCAAGGCCTGAACCTGTACTGTTGCTGGAGCTAATGGGAACTTCACCCAGGTTCAATAAAAAGTGGCCTTGATTGATTTGGTCTCTGACTAGTGAAGCTCTTTATGACTCCTAGTATCTCTGCAAGGGTTAAAAAACAGGCAACATTTCATTCAAGCACATTGCAGTCATGAAAAAATTATCATCTGAGGCAACTGTAGAATGCCATTTTGGATCTTCTGATGGGCCTTGGTGTTGTATAACCAGGTTGCAACTTTCGTTAGAATACGAACTACTCACAGGCTAAAAGTATTTAGTTCTTTCCCCAAACTTCACATATCCCAACAATGTTCACTTTTATGGAAACAACATCTGTAATGTGTTAGTAGAGCAAGACAAAAGTAGAATTGGAGATGGCTTTCATTGCTTTCTCCTTGCTACCAGCACTTAATATATGTATCAATCCTGCATAAACTATTCCTTTAGGAAGAGAGCAGGAGCTATCTTTGATAGCACATACCTGCAACTACATGCAAGGTATGAGGTGGTAAAGAGCTGATCTAGGGGTTAAAGACATCAAGTTAGCTCTTGATCCAGAAGTGAAGATAGGAACATACTTATATGCCTTTCCCTTTTTGGAAAAAAATCCTTGAGGAAGCTGTCCCTCTCCCCAAGGACACTAACAGAAACCAGAGGCAGTACCCCCATTGAAGTTAATTGGAGAGCAATGGCTTTTAATTTACAGAGCTGTAGACAAGGAATTTTTTACATGGAAATAAGGGTCCATCAATAGCTCTGGGTCACTGTTGTAATCCAGATGAAGCCAGATGCTGAACTCTGTCTCAGTGCTGTCAGTGCAGAGCAGCCTCCTTGGTGTTGGTCTGGGTGAGCAGAGCAGGTCATGGAATGAACTACAGGTATTGCAGAGATTGCTGTGCACAAGTGTTCCTGCTTGAATTCAGAAGGGAAATTTCACAGTGCTGTGTATCACACCAGCATATGCATTTCTATCAAAATTAAAATACTTGGCAAAGTGTATAGCCTCTGTATAAATTTTATTTCTGGAGAAATCCAGAGAAAGAAGAGAGTTAAAATCAAGTTTCTCTCTTTTGAATGTTAAATTCTTTGTTTTCTTTTTTTTCTTTTAAAGTCTTTCTTTTTTAAATGTATGTTGCTGCACATTTTCCATGTAGTAGAATAGTGTTTTTTAAAGGATCGAACCAGATCATTCTAAATGACTTCTGACTCAGATATTTATACTCTTACTCTCAGATTTAAACTAATGTTACTTTTTAAAATCCTTTGTGACATGGATGGCCCTTGCTGGGGCTTTGAACTGGAGCAGCAGTGAAGTAAAACATAAATGAACAGAAGACAATTGTTAAGTATATTCAAAATCACTGAATGGGGATGTGTGAGACTTTCTGAAAGGTTTGCAAAGAATAGCAACTCTGTCTCCTCTTTAGTAATATGTACTGTTCTCTCATCCCTGAGATTAAAATCAGAATTATTAATTGTTCAAGCTGGGATTGAATCAGAATTTTCCTGGATATTTTTGTGTTTGGCTGTTGTTATTCAGGACAGCTGATAGCTCTTCAGAATCTACTTGTTTATTCATACTTTGTTTGAAAGATGGAAACATAACATTTGAGAGCTGCTATTTACAAAAACAATGCAAATTTAAACTTTTAAAACCACAATAGCTTTTATAAATAATGGGAAGGGAGAGGTAAATGAAAAAGCTTTCATACAAAATGAAATTAAAAAAAAATCAAAAAAAGTGCACAAGAACATCAAGTGAATTGCACATTTTGCAGTAAAAAAAGTACAGTAACCTGGTCGTGAAATATTCCTAGAACATTTCACATAAATTCATTGTCTTGGAAGGAGAATATTTATCACACTCAGTAAAAACAAGCCACTTTACTTTGCACTAGAACTACTGATCTGCTTATAAAGCCTGGTTTGGTTGGGTTTTGGGCTATTTTTCTTTTCACAGTAACTTCTAAGCAGATGCATTAAAGGCACATTGAATTTGTGCAGATTCAGTATTTTGCACAAAATAGTATGTCAGTGACTGGAGCGGAGAGGTAGCAGGCTCCATTTCAGTGCAAATAGTTGTAAACTGAGTATGTGAAGTTTTGCTGTAACGATCAAGCAGAAAGGACTCAATAACATTGTAATTACCAGATTCCCCCTCTAATAGACTCTTCTCACCTCAGTTTCTGTGCACAGCATGCACTTATCCTTCCCACAATTGTGTTATATTCCCATCAGACCAGTGTTCTCCAGCTTAGTGACTCCTGCTCAGGACAGATGGTTGACAGCAAACCAGGACTTGGGTCTCCCAATAGAAATGAAGGGCTCTTGGTTGAAAGAAAAATGGGCTTTCCATATTTGTGCCATTCAAACCTAGTTTCAACTTCTCCAAGGACATAAAAAGAAATTGCAGCTTGCTAGACTGTTGTGGACACAACAGTGTTGGCTCAGGGGAAATTCCCATTTTGGGATAGCTTATGAAATCCCACTTCTCTGGTTATACCTGCAGTTGGTGATTGTGAATCCTTTCTCTCAGCCAGGGTCTCCAGTGCTGTCACCGCACACCAAACAAACACTAAAGTGGTCTCCAGCAAGCTGTGTTTGTATCCATCACCCTCTACAACTCTGCTTTGTTACACTTATTTAATTTCAGGGACTTTTCTTCTGATTTATATCAACGTAAGTAGGACCCAGGCCTTCGCTATTCAGCCTCAGAAAGTGAGAGATGGATGAACTCCACAGGTGATTTTCTGTCTCTCAAAGTACTGCTTACCAATACAGGGCCTCCACTGGCAAAACTGGTCTAGAGATTTTCTGTACCCCATCCTTTTCTCTCCACCCAGTATTTTTCTAACCTGATGAAATTCCCTGTTCACACTGGAGGAGACAAGGAGGTAGATCCTAAACTGACAGTAAAGGAAGTCACTGGATGAAACATCACCAGTGGAGGAATCTCACCTGACTTTCCAAAGCTTTGCAAGAAGATCATCGTTCAGTGTGAATTGAAACTCTGTGGGTTGTTCAACTTTCGCATCCAGGTAGGGGACAGCTGTGACAGAATGCTGTAGCTGTAACCAATTTAGGTTTGCTCTCATCCTGTCCCACAAGTGCTGAGCACATTTTGCACAAAGTCATCACAAAATCTGAACTTGTGTGCCCAGACAGACCTGTATGTGTGCAACACACTTTAGTCCTGTGTTAAGGTTTAAAACTCCACACAAATAAAAGTCAGTGCAATGCATTTTCCCTACTTACATTTCTATCTGATTCCATGCATGGTATGTAGACCAACAAATAAAACCAGATCTGCCATGTCTGGGGGGGACTCCAAGCAGACCATGATGCACAGCTCCTTTATCACCTAAGGAAAGAATGAGTGTGCTTCTAGCATAAGATCTGCATAGACATCATTCCAAAATTTCAGTTCTTTCATACTTTCTTAGGTGCCTATTCAGGAATGAAGCACTCATCAAAGCAGTTCAGCAAGTCACACCTGTCAGCTGAGCTGTAGTCACTGCCAATAACCACTCATGGGCTCCTTGGCCTCCCCAGCTGTGAGGGAATGTGACTTGTTAAAAACTTCAATAAAAGAATTTCACGGACAATTATAGTTGTTCAGCAGATAGATGGTAACTTGTTAAGCTGCCATAAATCAGTTGAGGATCTGAGCTGTAAATAGGTGACCTAATTTTCAAAGAAGCTAAGATAATAACTTTTATCAGTTTCAAAGGGAGCTAATAGATATTTCAGACTTCCAAAGTCAGAAAATTCAGGGCTAAATCCCAAGGTTTTTAGTCTACCTCACTAATAGATGACACTAAATGTGATCCGCCTGGCTTCAGTGGAACTACACCTAGTGCAAGCAACTTGACATTGTTTAGGCACCTGAATAAGGATTTGGAAGCCTAATTCTGGATATTCATTTTCATGAATTTTGAAGTCTGACTTTCATAATTTTGAAATAATTTCTCTTTCTTCCATTGATAGTATTGCTGTAGCCACAGAGGTCCAAGGAGTTAGGAAAGGCTGGGTTTTTTAGAGATAAGATCTTCTAGGGGAGGAACAGATTAAGTTTGTGTAATAGTGTTGCCTTTCTCCTTCACACCACTCTGTTCCCTGTCCTCTAGGGCTTTGTTTTGTTCTGACACCAGATTCATGACAGTGTAAACCTACTGTTTACAGTGCAGCTACTTCTAATTTACACCAAGAAAAGAAAAAAAAAGAGCTCAGATTTACTTTCAAATCCCCAGTCTAGGAAATTCTCTCAGAATGACAGAAAGCAGAATGACATTGCAAATGTAATACAGAATGAACTCCATTCACTATGTGCAAATACAGTTCTTACTTCCTCCTTAAATAAACCTTTCCTTGATTTTTAAAGGATTCATCATTTCTGGATTTTAGTCTGTTAAAGAAATCTGAGATTTGAATGTTCAGAAATCAAGTACTCTACTCAATAAGAAAGATACAAAAAAAGAAAGTAAAAGTGTTAGCAAGGTGGTGTAAAAGTATCAGAGAATTAGCAACCCGCACACTTAGCAGAAATCCAAACAATAGAATAGAAAATACAATAAAAATCTCAGTCAGTGAAGGAAATGTGATTGTCTTCCCAAATATGTTGACTCTCAACAATTTGTTAATTGTCATCACAGCAAGGATGCTAAGATTCACCACAACCCTTGGATACCTTTGTATTCCTCTCCAAATATTGGTACGACTCATTTGTCAGTGTCAGCTTTCATTTCTTGTTCTTTACAGAACAAGCGCAGAGGTGAATCATATGTGTTTGCTCTTGAAAAACCTAACAACAGTCCTATCTTTAGCTCTGTCTCCTCCATTTTCTTCTCACTCACGCTTCAAAAGCATATTTCTCTTAGATTAGTCATTGGAGGGTGCTTGACCAAGCCAGCAGCAATTCCTCCCCGCTGTGGGCCCTTGCCATGCTGGTGATGCTGGGTGCCATGCTGGAAAGCCACTGCATATCCATCGTGCCTGGGGTCACTGTCTGTAATCGTGCTGTAAGTATCGGATCAGTCTGTCTGGGAGAGGCAAGGTGTCAAGAAGCTTAATGCGATTTCTTCCAACCAGGCTTCGTACCTTGATGCGGCAAAGATGGGAAAGAGGTCGCGGAGGTTCTGAAAGACAGGCAGGTTAGAAGCATGAGCAGAACAGTTTTAACTTCAAATGGGCAGCTCAGCTTGGCCAGAACAGTGTGAAGAGGAAAATGGGAGAAGGAATATAAAAAGGGGTGGTTCTCTGTAATGAAGGGATAAGGCGTCTGAGATTGATAGAAGATCATCTTTCTGGGACATGACACAGGGAAGAAAGTGTGGTTGGAAAGTAGGGTGTTGTACCCATCTCAGCCTTAGAGGTGGGCTTTCTAAGAGGATCTGTATAAGCCACTTCAAAGTATTCAGCCTTCCCACTGAAAAAAAATGCAGTAGGTACCAAATTTACCTTGATACCAGAAACCTAATTCTAATACTGTCTATGAAAGACTTTGTATCCTGAGGGAAAGGATATTTAGGAGAGCTCAATACAAATAAAGACTTTAAAGGCCTCTGGTCATAAGACTGCTGTGGGGATTGTCACACTGCCCACCTGTCCTGACCTGACTGCACCCCAGGTACAGCCAAATGGGCCTTTCTGCATCACAGTGCTCATTCCCAGTGAGTCAAATCCATGGCTGGTGTATGTTTCACATCACAGTCAATGACATCTCAGAAATTTCTAGCGCCTAATACCCAGTCCAAAGTATAATTCAGTTACAGCAAGGAAATCCTTTCCATTTTATGGGATGAATATTTAGGTGATGGTGACTGAGGTTTTGAATCTAACAATGGGACTAGTTGTGTCAGATTCTCTCCTGGGTGACCATACCTGCTTTTTCTTTAATGACAGCCCAGTCCTCATAGCTGTCAATATGCTCCTTGAGCCGGGAACAGAGCTGCACATTACCCACATAATCCAGGAGAACATCAATGATTGGCCCAGCCCAGCGACTTATCTCTGGAGTAGACACCATTTCACAAAACTTCAAGGAAAAACAGATTGACTACAGTCAATGAATGCACTTGTGGAAACAGCAACAATAACAATGGCCCTGACAACTTCAATGGTCCCACCCTTCTACCAGCTGTGAGGGAAATCACCGGTTTCCCTTCAGAAAACTTAAAAGCCTATTCTTTGACAACTGAGATTAGAACCCCATCTTTACAATCCCAGGATGACACAAATCCCTGGTGAAGTCCTAGCTTTGGAGCATGGAAGAATGATGAATTGTTTACAAGTCCAAAGGTCCTACTTCCACAGAAGTGTGAGGGCAGGGGAAAATTGCCCCAAGTCAGTGAGGGGCTGCTGAAAAGTCCATGCAGTCCAGGGCACTATGACCAAGCATTCTGGGTCCCTTCCCCTTCTTGGGAGGGGCTCTGTGGGGCTACCATGCAAAAGGAGGCTTAGGGAAAGAGGGAGATTCAGCAGAGTACAGCACCTCCTGCTTCTTATGAACCCACTAGTGTCTGCAGCTTTTGGGGACCAAACACCTTACTAGAAACAAGTTGGGAGAATGGAAGAAGTCTCTACTCAGATGAATCCCAGGCAGTTTTACTCACTTACGAGAGAACTATCCTGGGCCTAATAGAGAGGCATCTTCCTTACTCAGTCCTGGATCAGGCAAATTTTCTGTTGCCCACAGTGCGAGCTGCAGAATACTGAGCCATTGCATGGTGGGCTGCTTATGGAGATACTGCAGAATAGACTTAAGGACCTGACTTCAGGCAGTCTCATTTCAAAAAAAGTGGTGACTTTTCGTCTCACTTTAATCTAAATATGTATATTATATCAGTCAGCCTCATCTGTCTCTTCTAGTGTTCTGCATCTGATGAAGATATCTGTGGATGTATCTGCATGTGAACAACCAGGAAGTTTAACATGAATTAAATCATGCTGTGTGAGTAAGAATTCAGGCACAGAGCTGAATCCAATTGAATGATGGTGGCTTAAGCACCATCCATCAGCTTAGTCACTGAGACTGTATGCAAACACCCTCCAAGCTCACACTAAATGGGAAAGAAAACACACCAGCTTAAACCTCTTTCAGTCTAAGCTCCTGTAACTAGATCAAATTTGATTATACATCCATGAGTCCTAACTCAAAATGCATTAAACTGTTGTGTGGATACTCTTATTCAGAAATAAAATTATATTATCTTACCTAGTAAGGAATAAAGCTGCAGAAAAGGCTATTTTACTCAGGGTAAAAGCATTCACAGAGGTGTTTACTACTCTTCTCTTATTTTTCACTGAACATTACTGTGTATTGTTTCCCAGGAGAACTAGATACAGTGATGTCTGCAGGATCGCAGTGGACAACCCGCAGTTTCCTACCTGGACTGCTTATAGGAAGTTCAGTCAGTATAGCTGGCTGTCACTTTCCAGTGCATATGCCACTGCCATGCAGTTATCCATAGGATGTGCCAGCTGGGGATCTGCACTATCACCTCCATGCAGCAACTTCTTTATCAGTTTAAATGAAGATACATGTAGAGCAATAAAACACTGGATCTTATTTGCTCTGTTCTTGTCTCTCGCAGAGACCTTGCCTGCTTCTTTCTGTCTTCCCTATTCACAAGCTCAATCTACAAAAACATTTTCTGGAATAAACGTGTTTCAAAAGACATTGCAGGAAAATAAACACAACAAAATGTAGGAAAATAATGCAAACCTGCAACTGCAGGCAATGGGATTGACTCAGGGACAAAGTGGCTGTGAGCCTTTGTCCTCAGCAGAAACCTGAATGCCCTCTTGCGGCAGTACGATACCGCTCTCCCCACCTTCATGGGTTTGACAGCAATTCTGGAAACGTAGAGGAAGGCAGCAACCATTTGTCTGCATTCACTTTCTCCAGGACACATTAATTTAGTGGCAACAGTAAGGATTTATAGTTATGCATTTTCCAAATCCACTTACAGTAGCTCATAGTCTTTTAAAGACTAATCATTCAGATTTATTACCCTTACGTAATCTTACACAAGAAAAAAGAAAATGCACGTCCTTTGTGTGGAGAAGGCTACAGTTTCATAAGATCCTCTGTATTTCAGAATACAAACCCTAGCATAACTATGTATCTTGAAGCTACACCACACATGCCTGACTTTTATTAACCGAAATACTAGCAGTAAAAGCAATTTAAAAAGAGTATTAGAGGGAAAGAATTGCTTTTTTTTGTGTATGCATTTGTCCCTTACTGCTCTCTCTCTCTAGGCACAGATAAAATTTTGTACAGCTTTTGCTACCTCTACCTCATGTGCTCTGACCTTTGAGGAGATGACTGTGAGTGACCTAATATTTTGTTAGTTGATAGTTTTAGGTGAGATCCAGAGGGAACGGGTTTTGAGTGGCTAGAATACCATAGAGGGCTACAGACAAACCATCTCTCCCTGCCCTAGAATTCCATCTCTCTGTTCACTCTACCTGCTACCATATCATGAAACAAGGACTAGAGTTGATACATTCTATTAATTTTTCTTTGACAAAATAAGTGGAATCTTGGAAGAATTTTGCTGTGGCAAACTTTCTCAGGGAAAAGTCAGCTCTGTTTGGGATAAAAGATTATTGTGATGGACTCTTACCATCCTCTTTATAAGATTTGTTTGTTTGTTTGTTTTTTTCTCCAGATGTTTTACTGGAGAGTAAAGTCTTTTGGAAGACAGGACTGATAATAAGATAAAGATTTCCTAGGATCTTTTAATATTTTCCTTTATTCTTTCTGCCGCTGAAGAACATTTATTGGTAACCATGTCTTTGAGATTCTTCTGAATCCCTCAAAACTACACTTAAACTAGATAGAAGTTGATAGCAAATTTTGATTGGATGGTCAGACTTCATTTGAGATATATTGGGAGGAGAGAACATACAGAAATCAGAAAAAAAAAGTAATCTGAGATTCTGCAAAGTCCATTAAGGTACTGAGAGTCCAATCCCAGTCCAATGGAAGCTGAGCAAGCTGCACTTTGGAAAGTACCGCAAAGATACATGTATGAAATGTGCATATGCAAAATCTGTCTTTGAAAATATGAAATCATGGATCTAAATCTCCTAACCTCTTGTGAAAACTTCAACTATAATTCACAGTCATATAGCTAATGTAATAATTTATGCTCTCTCTCTGTGATTGCTTAGCCAGTAAACTTAGAAGGTGCAAATATTTACATTCACTAGTTTACCCTCATAAAGTGAAGCTCTAGACAATTTTAATGTAATCAGTAGATAAAATTCTGTATCAGACAAAACAAATCTTACAGGACATATAAAAAAAGCAGGTTTCTACCATCTATATGCTACCACCCATACATCTGTCAGGAAAAAATGCCTCACTCCTGCACCTCAGGCCCAGAGGAAAGAATGTTATAGAACTGTCAGTAAGGCTGTCAAGATGGCTATAATTCACTGTAAATTCAAGCTGGTGCCACAGAGGCTGTTGCCTACCTTCCTGCTGTCACTGAACATGAACTTGGAACATTCACAGACACTTATTGAGCCTTTTTTCTGTAAATAAAGTGGAGATATTGGCAACTTCTCTCATCAGAAAGTTGTGAGAAAAAATACACTAAATTTCTCAAGATCTATGGGTAGGAGCTGTCCTCAGAAGTCCTACAGGTAGACTGGGCAGTGCTTACCTGTACTATGGTTGGCTCCTTGGTCAGCTGAGGATCATTAAGTCTTTCCCGTCTGTAATTTAATGCAGGGTGGGGGCCGTTCCCATACTGACACTCGAAACAGGAACTTGCATCACAGCCCAGATCCAGGAGATACTTCAGCACGGAGAGGTACTTCATTGAAAACATGATGGTAGCTGGAAATGTGGTGGGATGACTTGATATATAAGCATCAATGTTTGCTCCATGGTCAAGGAGCAGTTTCATGGTCTTCATGCAGCCATGACGGATGGAGATGAGTAATGGGTTGATGAGGTCAATATTGGGGTTGGCTCCGGCTTGCAGCAGGAGCTCTGTGGCATAGATATTGTTGTTAAAAACTGCAAAATAGAGAGGGGTGGTGCGTCTGTCCTCATAAAGGCAGGACCGTTCATTGGAGAGGGCACTGTTGACCTCGTAGCCAGCATCTATCAGCTCTTCCAAGATGTCATCATTGTTCCGTTCGGCCGCCAAGTGCAGGGGGCTGATGCCACTACGTTTGACGCGGGTGCGGCTGGTCACAGGGATCAGCATGGAGACAATCCTGCCAGCAGGAGAGTCAGTGAATAGCAGTGAGCTCTAGGGGATTTACAAGCCTACAGCAAATCATAGCTTTATGGCTGTAACCATAAGACAGAGTACTTGGGTACAGGAACAACTCTGAGAGAAACCGGGGTGTAAACTTTAAACCTATCAACAACTCCCTCTGCTCCTACCTTGCCAAAAATGTGAGTTGTATGACCCCCTCTCTCATGGAGGAACCCTTTTTTTTTTTGATTACCACCCAGTTTCTGTGATGTAATGGCAGCTACAGGACCGACATGCTGGCACTCGCCTACCCTCTTGTAACTTCACTTAGGTTCCACAGCCCAAATGGCAGACAACCAGCCAGGATCTACCAGATGTCCTGCACCTTCATCACCATGCTGTGGGTAGGACTGGAGGAAAAGGCAGATACCCCCCAGCCTGAGGTGCCAGCAGAAAGGCTGTATCTCCTCACCTTTGTAGGTATCTCCTACAGAAAGGCTGTATCTCCTCACCTTTGTAGGGATTGCTTTATTGCTCAGCAGAGAAGGGTGCCAACATGAAGCGCTGGCAGGTGTTGTGGGTCACAGCCACAGCAAAAGGCATAGGTTAAAATACATATTTGGTTCCCAGACCTCCCCTGGCAGATTTTACAATTCAGTTATTGCCCTGCATTGATCCCTATCCTGGAGGCCCTCACTGTGTGGCTTTTGGCTGTGGCAAATCCATGGGGCTGTCAATGTCCGTCCCAGATCATGGGGAGCCAAAAAGACAATTAGTAAAGGGGAGAAAAAGAAATAAAAATATTCTCCAGGCTGGTTTCCATGTTTTAGCCAAGGGAGAAAAAATGTACAGCCAAGTCCTAAACTCCAGTAGTGAGGGATTGCTATTGGAACGCATGATGTGGCCTTAAACACAACAACATAAATCAAGCTGCTCTCATTATGTAATGTGAATTTCAAATATATGATGTATAGGAGCCCTGCAGTTGCAAATCTGTGATAATTTTTATGTCTGCATAGGTGTCATTGGAGCTGCATGACCAACCCAATAGGTTAAACCTTCATTTCCTGCTATAAAGTTGGGTGGTTTAGCCAAGGCACTAGGTTGATTGTGTAGATACAGATAAGTCACCTTTTAGTACTTCAGACAGAGACTAGGGACCATCCAATGTGAGTCTGCCTGCTGTTTCCAGAGATGACCATGCTTCCTACATAATGTCTGTGAAGAGAGGGGTATCTAAATAGGAACTTGTTCAGCAAGCCAAGCACACCTTCTTCTTTTTTTTTCCTCCCATGCAGATTCCTCTATCTAGCAGCCAACAGCTTTGGTAACACACAAACATGCAAAGCTCAGTTTCCTACCATGTAGAGAGTCTCCTTTAAAATGCTGTGTATCTTCAGCATGACTGTAATGGCTAGTCCCAACACTGGGCCCTCAAACATATATTTACATAATGAACTAAGCCAAATATAAGTGCCAGTCTCAGTAAAACCTTTATTTGTGACAATCTGGTGATCCTGTGAAATGATCCTGTGAAAGATTGAGCCTCCAACGCTCCCAGAAGCTGAAATAAGAGTTGAAGATGCATTGCATTTTACAGGTTTATGTTCCTATTTACATGATGGACTATTGATGTCTCCAAGTTACTTCTAAATCTCATTTTTAAACAAAAATGTTTTTCAAATTATGTAAATATCTTGGGAAATTAAGCACTTTTTTTTTCTCTAAGCAGCTGCACTAGTTTTCCAGCACTGTGATACTCGCCAGGGAGCAGGAGGTTTGGGTGCTGGTGAGTTGGCAACTTCCCACCATCAGCAAATGTTCTGTAAGAGCCTAATAACAAAAAGGGCACAGAGCACTGCGAGGACACCATGCCAAGTACCAGCATTAGTCATCCCATGATCAAATGTTTTGAAGATTTAAGGGTCTGTTTTGTTCTTTCCCTCCAGCGTATGTGCTTCAGCCAGCTCTTCACATCTGAGTTAAAGAGGCACTGCATCATTTCAGTCTGCAAGGGGAACCTGAACCTCCCTGCAGGAGTACCACACTCAGGCTCCACATCCAAATGCTGAAGTGTTCTAGAGGTCAGTACAGTCCCTGTACTCCACATTTGTTTTGGTATGATAAGCAGGAATACATCAAATTTGTATCAATTTCATTGTGTAGCTCAAACTTGTCTCTCTTTCTTGCCCTTCAAAGTGGATTGGTCAGTAATATGGTGCCTCTATCTCTGCAGCCTTTCCTGTCCCTCTATAGGGAGAATGCAGCTCAAATGAAGGCAGCCAAGACCAGAGAAGTCAGACTATAGCCCATGTCTGTCACAGGGCTGAGCTTAATGTACCATTTTGAAATGGTGTCAAGTTTCTCCTTAGTCCCGACACCTGCTTCTGTGATTTCTATTTATTAGAAATTAAATGGAGCAGGAGGCAGAGCATCCTTAGTAGGAGTGTGCCAAGAGTTTACTGATTTCTATTTACTTAATAAATCTGCTCACATTTCAAAAAGTCTTCCCTTCTCAGCATCTCAGTTCTGAGGGGGAAAGAGTTAAATGACTGCTTGCAATTGTTCTACAGCTCATGAGATGACCCTTATGAATTTCTGGTCAGTATTGACAAGGTGTCATTTAAAATAAACAAACACCAAGCAACAAGAGTTGACAGTTGAGCCCTGGGACCACATTCTTTGCTTTTTGATGGTAAGGAGCCTTCGTGCTCTGGCAAAAAGTTGAAGTGTGGAATTCCTGCAGAATTACGTACTAAATCTGCAGGAATACAGAGGTCACCGTGAAGGGTGTTATTTTACTGAATACCAAAGGAATTAAGAATGATCAGCCAATTGGGCTAAAGCTTTGTCATTTAGATAAATATTTATAAGAGAATATCTCTTTCTTTTGTCTTTCTCTTGTACTTAGTTTGCAGCAGTTGTGCATAAAAATTTGTGTTCAGTCTTTTACAAGTGAAACTCAGAGTTTGGCCTAAATTCTGGTCTCATTTATGCTGCTGGTTGTCAGGAATAACAGATATAAGACCTGAATCAAGCCCTTGTTTTTATAATATATTATATATATTATATATATATAAAACCTAATATATTACATTCATAATAATCACGTTGCAGACTTTCCATGTAAATTTCTTTTCAGGTCATAGTGTGGGACTACTGAGGGGAGGAAAATATTAAGAGAGCTGGGCTGGACTTTATATAAAAACTGGATACAGATCAACTTACTGTACTTTCAGATAAACTTTTTCAAAACTGGAGCTGGGTTCTGTCTCTGGTGCAAGGAAATGTCTTTGTAAATCAAACCCTGGAGAAAATTTTGAGTCATGCCTGCATTAATCTGTGTGGGGTATCCATGAACATGTTGTAAGTGTATAAACCTGTTACATAAATCGACATTGAGCTTCCCTCTAGAATACACAGCTTGCACAGGGAAGTAGGCCTACTCCAACAACAGAAAATTAATATCCTCAAGTCTAACAAAGTGTTTGGACAAGCTTAATTGACAGTCCCAAGCAAACCTAAACACTAGGATGAAAAACTTTATGGGAAGGTGTAATGATGTCAAAAGCTTTTATTCCTTAGAGACTGTGAAATATGTAAGAATCCACTCTAGCAGTTCTCTGCAAAGATAGCTGTATTGTCCAGAAACAGTCATTGCAGTTGGATAGACTCTCTCATTTGCCTGTTCTCTCATTTGCCTGTTCCTAGAAGTATTTTGATAGAAACTGCAATAATCAGAGGAGTCCTCTACAGTCAGAAAAGGGGTTTGTCACTGCAAGATGTGATTGTGTTTTGCAAAATTAGCTGTGGGTCGCTCACCCTTCCAGCAGCATGGGGTTAAAGACAGGAACTAAAACTTGCTGTAGGATAAGAAGTACATGCTATGGAGTCCAGGCTCAGAAGCATGCTGCAATGTCCCAGATTTTGAAAGAGCCAGGTAAACGCTATTTACATGACAGTGCAACAATCCCATCCTAGACAGCATCTTCTATATTGATATACTTTATCACAGACTGTAGAGTTTGTCCCTTTCCCAGAAACATCTCTGTTTCAGAGGACTGTAAAAATCTACCTGATTCCTGGTTATTTTTTTCCATTATTTACTATTCTCACTGTTTTAAAGAATATGCTCAGCTCTGTCCCAAACACATTTCATTTGAGACAGAAACCACAGGGTCTTTTTATGCATTTGTCTGCTATAATTAAGAGTTATTTAATCACTCAGTAATAAAATATATTTTCCAGACCATGAGCAATTCTTGTCCTTCTTTTCTGAAGCCATTCCAATTTCCTGAAAGGTTTCTGAAAGGGAGGATACCAGAACTGAACACCATATTCTAGCAACAATCTCACTAATGCCCTAGAGATTCACTTAACCACTTCCTGCTGTCAGCAACTGAATTATTGTCAATAAACCTGAACATAGCAGAGATGAATCCAACATCTTCTGCTTGTGCAGAAGAATCACAATGGACTCGTAGGAAACTACGCTGCAAAAACTATTGACTAACACTCCCCACCAATACTTTTTTAATTTCATCTCAAGAATGAGGATCTCAGTTTAATCCACTTCCAAGATACATGATGTTATTTAGCTGCAGTAGGTGATGTCTTAGTAAAGTTAAAGAAATCTTTCACCCTTCATTCCTGCTCACCCCATCCCATCCCAACCTGCAAACACACTCTTCAGTGTATAATTTCTGGCCCAAGCTCTGCAAGCAGAAAACCCCATCCTCAACTAGTAGCTCCCTTGCTCATAATGCCAAGAATTAGATCTGAAACATTACATTCTCCTTTTCATAAGAATGTTAGATTCCTGTCTAAAAGATGAAACTATAAAATTAAACTTACTCGCAAATCCCTTTTTTGGCTGCTATGTGAAGAGGTAACAGACCATCCTTATTGGCTTTGTTAGCATCTGCTCCTTGGGACAAAAGAAACTCCACAATATGTACATGTCCATTTTTACAGGCTTCATAAAGGGCAGTGGCATTATCACTGGCTTGAGTATTTATATCAGCGCCTAGGAAGGAAGAAAATCTTTTAGCACCAAAAGGTTAAAATCAAATGGAAGGAACATACTTTGAATGAACACTACATCTCCATAACACTGGAAATACAAAATGATGGGTATTTTATGAGGGAGAGTTTGTCATGGGTAGCAACCATTAGTCCCAATCATGAATCCAGGCTCCATTCAGCTATAGCTCAAAGGAAAAAAAACTTTAAAATGGGCTGTTCTTTATATAGCATGGCCTTTCCTTCAAACACAATAATTCCACTAATATTTATATGTTTTCACTATGTATATACGCTATTCCTGATCAGGAGTTTGGACTAGATGATCTCAATAGGTGCTTTCCAAAATTCTATGGATATGTATTTATGATATATGTTTATACGCATCATTTATACTCTATATATTCACACTATATTTATAGAATTTATACTATGTTTTAGTTTTAGCACATATCCAGGCTAAAACAATAATCTCTAAAAAGACATCTGCATAGTGCCAAGCAAAAATTCTAAACAGGCTTTATTTGGGCATGTCTTAATTGATGAATATTGCATTTCAAAACTCAGCACCTGAGATCATATCTCTTCACGAGAGCTGAAGTTTGGCTCCAGATAGTTTTACAAAAAAAAAAATAATTATTAATGAGCTACTAGATCATGTGGGAATTTTTCTTTCTTCAGCTCTAATGTGTGTTTGGCTTAATAAACAACATGCAAGTATAAATCAAGACAATACTTTTTTGCCATGAACAATTTGGAATCTAGCCTTTTCTGTTATAGATATTCAAGGCCCAAAAGCCTGGGTTTTGACTGTCATATACTGTACCATGGTGTTCTCAGGCAGGCTGCTCTATGTGCATCCTAAATGGGAATGACATCTCACTGGAGTTTTGCTTCTAAACTCTAACAAAGAAATCATGTTTGATCATGAAACATTTCCCTGTGTTCTCACCCTAAGCTGAAACATCTGTGTTGTGTTTGGCCCTTTGAAGGTGCTGTAGCTGGAAACATCAGGAGAACTGCAGTGACAAAACATAATGAGGGACTAAGTTCTTAATGAGAAAGAAGCCCTTTTTATGATGAACATTGCTCGTCATAAACAATGAATGATATCATTCCTGGGATTTTCAGAGGACCTTTTCAGGCTTGATACAATTGGACAGTTTTATTGGAATTTCTCCTGTATATTTTTCTCAAAATTGAACTTTAAGGAAATCCTCATATCTCTCTAGTTTGGAACACAAATCACATTCTGGCTTAGTTTCTAACATTGTAGGCAGCATGATGGACTAACTGGTCATGTAAAATTTTTTTTACAAGACTAGCTGGGCAGCAGAACACATTTTTTGTTCCCCGACTCATATCTTTCTTAGCCATACTAACTGTTTCAGAAGTTTTATTTCATCTGTGTTAAGCTCTTGTTTCACAACTGCAGGACCCAGATCTTACCTGCATTGAAGATGTTAGCCCACTGTGAAAATAAAATACGCCTGGAATAATATTAAAGTATGCTGTGCTTAGTGTAAAGCTGTTTCACACAAGTGGAGCATTAAAAGGTATGCTTAGTATAAGCTAGATTAAAATTCACTCTTTATATGGCTAAAAATTTACACATAGGGAGAGCTAGTCTGCTTCTACTTGATGTAGATCCATTAACTCTACAATCGTACTCTATCTATTTTCAGCAGAATACATTAAGAGGAGAACAGCTAACATGGCCCATCACTGCACATGTTCATGAGCAGATGGGGTAGGCTAAAGTTCAACTTCTGCCGTCTATTACCACCTACATCTGTCTTTTATGACTGATTGGATTTTGGGCTACATGTTTCAGCAATGTGAGTTTAGAAAGCTCAGGAAATGCAGTTAGACAGCACCATATTACTTCCCAGAGTAGGTGACCATGAATGAATGCTGAAGAAGTGTACGTGTTTAGATCATGCTCTCTGAAAGACCCTACCCAATTCCACCATCTGGAACAATGGGGTTTTAGTGCCTCTGCAGGCTAGGTCTTGCCTCCAGAGACACGAAAAATGCGCCAGGGAGAGCTACTGGAAACTTCTAATTATTAAGAATTAAATGAATTAAGGCATGTAATGGCACGGCTGTACTCACCACATTTTGCAAGGTATCTCAAGGCTTCCAGCTGCCCACTCTCAGCTGCCACAAATAAAGAAGTGATCCCGTAGGCATTTGCCGACTCAATCTTGGCACCCCCTTTCACAAGAATATCAATAATCTCCAGGTCATTTCGGGAGACAGCCTCATGGAGAGCAGTCCATCCTCGATTACAACGATGGTTGGTATCCGCATTGTACTGTACCAGGAGTCTTGCGGCTTCCGCATTCTTACGCTCACAGGCTGTTTTGGAAAAATGGGAAGAGAGTAGGACAGGCTTTTGAAAATATTCTGGGTGTTGTATATTCATTTCATGTAGCCTAAGGCAGTGTAACACCAGTAAGCCATAGTAAGACTAAAGACCCATTCAGGTACGAGGGCCAAGGCTGCTGCCAAAAACACTGTCTGGGACTCCTAAAGGATGTGATAGTGAAAACAATCTTCAGCTGGGAGGTGGAGGTGGTGTCCTGTGCAAGGGTTGTGCCAAGCCTGGTACTGGGTGGAATCCAGCCCAGCACATTTGTACCAACTGGACACCACAGTGACCAAGTGAGGTGACAAATGTGGAGGAAATAATTTACGAAGAACAAATGTGTTTACATAAATCATATGACATGAACACTTTCTTTCCAAATTCTGTGCAAACTGACCCTTTATCTTACTGTCCTGGACTGTAAGATAAAGCTCTATATAGACAAGGAAAAAAAAAAAAGCTCAAACGAATAGGACCCAGTAAAGGATCCTTAGAAAACAATAATTGTGTGAGTCAGTAGCACTTTCTCCGCCTGAAACAATTTTTAGTTAAAGATCATCCTGAGCTAAAGAAAGGTTCTTAATCATTAATAGCACTTCGTTGATTTTTATTGTACCAATTTGTCCCATTGCTTTTTGAATCCCAAATCATCAGGTTTCCCACCCACTTTTATGGTGGGATCCCAAACCAAAGGTACCTAGGATAAGCAGCTACATTTACAAACTCCAATTAGCATTTGTTGTACAATGTACAATGTACAGAAGAGAGGTTGGCACATTTCATAGCAATTGGGTTCTTTTCTTTGAAATAATAGTGTCTTTTTTTCACAGAGGTGCCACCTTTTGGTTTTGATCCTTCCCTTGGGATATCTCCATGACTTCCTCTCCCATAAACAGGTGTCACTCGTGTACTGAAAGCAACTATGTAATTAGCTGCTTCTGTAATTACCTATCTATAGCTCTTAAGAGTTTAATTTGCTTCCATATGAGGGATGGCTACTTTGTTATGATAGACTTTTTTTAATTTGTTTTTTTTGTTTGTTTGTTTTTGTTGTTGTAAGATAAACTAGAAGATATTGCATCAATGCTAGCACATTGTTATTAAGAGTTTTTCTCTGGCTAAAGGGTTTTTTCATATCATTGTTGTTGTTATTATTATTACTGTGAGCACTACTATTACCACCACTACTGTGTGTTTAATGCACAGCTGAACAGCTTTCCTTTAGCCAACTAAAAGCCAGAATTTTAAACCAAAAGCATTTTAAACTGAGCAGCTCTAATGACAGGCATCCAAAGCTGGAGGTAAGATTGGTGTTTTAACCAGTAATATGTGCTTTTAACGTTTTAGAGTGCTAAAAATTGTCACGGCAGGAGCAAAGGCAGATTGACATGAAGGTGTGAGAGATCATCTCCTTCTATGAATCTTTGTGATGTCACGGATTTATTGCTATTCTGCTACAGAAAGAAAGTGTTCTCTCCAACTAGCAGCAAAGTAAGATGTCCACATTAAATACTTTATCCACCTCACTGAATTGTTTATAATTTTATGCCTCGCCATAGGACACAGCTTGGCCTGACTCACACAGTATATGAATCACTGGCATGTCTACAGTTACTGTACTCCCACATCGAACATCTACTTAGATCCTACTGTTTAGAAAAGCATACATATTCCAGTACTCTTCTACTTGTTGTAAGTTTGGGACATTGCCTAGACAGCCTGTGCTTAGGGCCCCACTGAACCTCTCACACCCCACCCTCAGCACCACATCAAAGCTTGCACCCTGCAGGGCAGCTGCTAATCCTGTTTCTGTTACAGATAAGAAAAAAGGCCGTGGCCCAGCAGGTCAGACGTAGGAGATAGAGGACTACTGCAGGGAAGTAGAAAACAGGAGCTAATTGCTGAGTTTCTGCCCTTCATCACAGGTGATCCTGCAGTTCTGCCTTGGTGGCGCCAGAAGAGTTCAGCATCCCTGGAAAAGCAGCTACACACCTTTGTAGAGCGGCGTTTCTCTGGCCTTGTTGGAGATGTCGGGCTCAGCCCCAGCCTGCAGCAGGGTGAGCAGGCAGTCCAGGTTGCCCCGGCTGGTGGCCAGGTAGAGAGCTGTCTCCTCATTGAGAGTGCGTTGGTCGATGGTGCTGGGGTACGCTGTGGAGGAATGGTGAGCCCAAAGTCATTACGGCGTGTAGTGCACGAGTATCTACAGCATCATCACCTTCCAAAATCCTTGGAGTTTCAAGTAAGTTTTTATTGTTTCTTTTCCTTTTCCATGATCAATATAAGTTAGGAATATACTATAAAGTTACTATAATTCAGATTGAGTATCTAAATCTGTCACCAGTTTAGATTAAAATGTTCAGCTATGGCTACTAGTGATGCAGAAAGTTGTTGAGTAACTTTAGCAGCAATTTGAAAACGAACTACAAGAGTTAACTGCCTTCAAGCACCAGCAAAGAGGTGATGGGTTGGATCTCCAGCCAGTGGGAAGTGAGGTGATTCCTGTCAGCTTTGGCAGCTGAGCAGCTCATAATAGTTGAGAGCTCAGCTTCAAGGCTTTAGTGTGAGAAATCCATGGCTTGGCAGGATCCATCCCAATATCAGTTTCTCCCAAATATCCTAACTTTTAAGGCTTCAGTTTGGAAACCTATTTTTCAAGAGAAAATGAAATTAATATACAGTCAGAGAGGTTGGAAAAAAGTTTCACACGCAGTCCCAGGCCAGGATTGGGATGCTGCTAATACTGCCTTTTAGTTTATTCATATTCTTCTTCTCCATTTTGTAATTAATTAGTTTTAATTTCACTGACCTTTTTGCAACAGGCTCAGGCAACCCACTTGGCCATAGTATGCAGCTTCGTGGAGGGGTATCCAGCCATCCTTATTAGGTTTAGAAAGGTTTTTTCCTGATTTCATCATGTTGCATACTGCTTTTTCATCTCCATCCTTGATCGCTGCCACTACAGGGTCAAGTTCTCTTTGAAACAAGATTAAAACTTGATTACTGCTTCCTTCATTACTGAGAAGCTTTTTGGAGCAACATTACTGTATCATTTGACCAAAATAGCGAACCCCTTCAGCCTATATACCAAGTATTTGTGGCCCTGAGGTGTCTTGCCACAGGTAAAATTTGTCTTCTCTAATTTTACCATTCTCAGCAAATAAGAAGAATCACTCTCTAGAGGAACTAATCTCTCTCCTCAGAGAGTAAGGAAAGCGTAGATGTAACTAATCTCTGACATAAACACTTATTTTAAGTATCTGGATTTGGGGAATACTAGCCCTGCCCTTGCTCTGTACACTGCGAATTGTCCATGGCTGTGATAATTACTTCACCTTGCTGTCCCATGTGGCATGGTGCTTCCATATGAGCTCTTTTAAACAAGATCAACTTTGAAGAGCATTGCCCCTGTTCACCCCGGAAGAAATTTTCAGATTTACAGGTGGCTTTAGCAAAAATTATCAATAAATCTTACTCTTGTATTTTGAAAATACTTCCTATTTCCTTACACAATACCATTTTCAGAATTTAGCTGATCTGGTAATCACAGAATCACAGAATATACTGAGTTGGAAGGGACCCACAAGGATCATTGAGTCCAACTCCTGGACCTGCACAGGACCATCCCCAAGAGTCACACCATGTGCCAGAAAGTATCATCCAAATGCTCCTTGAACTCTGTCAGGCTCAGTGCTGTGACTACTTCACTGGGGAGCCTGTTCCAGTGCCCAAACACTGCCTGGGTGAAGAACCTTTGTCTTGTATCCAACCTAAACCTTCCCTGACATAACTTCAGGCCATTCCTTCAGGTCCGTGTGAACATTAGGGTGTTTGTCTTGGCTCTCCTTTTTTTCATCCAGGGATGGCTGAAAAAAAATACACCCACCTGACTGAAATTTGAGCTGCCCTTCATCATGTCATCACAGAGATCCACAGCTATAGTTATCGAAAAATATATCACAGCTACAGCATTGAAAAAACAGATTTTCAGAAATAGTAACTACTTCAAACACTATTGACCTTAAAAAATATGTCTCCAGTGTCTCAGTAAGATATATGACATGCTGGACACTTCTGAAAATCTGGTTGTTAGCTGTTAAGTGGTTCATGACTTGATCCATTCTAACCCAACAAACCACTCACAGGCTCCACAGGGTCAAATAAGTTCTAGACACAAGGATTAAAAGGAATGAAAAACTATTAGGGAGGAAGTGAATATTTAAAAGTCTCTCCAGAGTTCAAAGTCATTGAAATGTGTAGAATCAGTGGATATATAAATAACATGTAAGTAATCTTTTATTTGGTGCTACCTAGTTCTGATACTTCCAAGAAGAGGCTCACTGTGAAAATCTACAAAAAGCATAAAGTGTGCTCCATGCCACCCAGCATGAGGCACAACGAACAGCCTACAAGTGCACTTTGACCTCACAAGCCTTCCCTCTGCCAAGGATGCATTCCACACACTTCAGGCAGTGACCCATTTCTCCAAGCTCTGTAAGAGTGGTTGCAGAGCAGGGCTGACCCAGGCACATGAGTCCTTCTGCAGAGCAACAGTGAGAGCTACTGGGAGTCTCCCCACAGAGCAGGGGTCACAACACTGCCTGACAGTCACCATGTCCCCAGTCAGCGGTGCCTGCAGCAGGGCCTGCTGCCCTCCTTCCACCTCATCTGAGGCTGCCAGGAGCGTGATAGAGGCAGGGAGCTGGGAAGTGGGTCCTCTACAGCCAAGTCAGGCAGGACCCCTGCCTGTGGTGGGCAGCAGCTCTGTGCATGATGCTGGGCTGTGCCTTCCAGTGTTGGCATCTTCTCGAGCTCCTGCTGAGCTGTGCTGGGACAAGGCAGCTTTCTTATTTTGATGCACTAAATAACTAAGCTCTAGGACAGCTAACATTGTAAAGGAAGAAGCACTTTTCCAGTTCTAATGGGAACTTGCAAAAAATTAATGTGGGCTATACTTTCAGAGACAGAGATCAAGAGGTTCATGAGAACATAGGAGCATTTGTGGTTTGAACTAACTCTATGGAGAAAAACTTGCAGTCCTGAAGCCAGAGAGATGTGGGAGACAGGTGTGTGTCTCAGAGAGATTGTTAGCATAGACAGGGTAAGAATACAGTATGTGTTAAAGGTCATGCAGGGTAGTGATTATGGGAACAACTTTAAACTCTAGCTATGACAGAATGAAAGTCTAAAATACCACAATAGAGTGAGATCAGAGACATAAAAATATGGGCAGGTTAGCACAGGTCTCCTCACAAAGCAGATTACTGGTACAACCTCTGTATTTAGTGCGAGTTACAGGGGCAACGCTGGATTCCATTGTCTTGCAGGGGCTGGACAGACCAGCAGCCTGAAACTCACACAGGAATCACTAATTTCAGTTTGCCCAAAGGTACCTAATCTGTGCCATAAACATTGATATTAGCATTGAAAGAAAAGTCACCAAGCTGCTTCTCTGAGGATAAACTCAGGGCCTTGAAGTAGAACAGGTGAACTCAATACCTATGCCAGAGAATGGGAGAAAACACCATTTCCCAGGTGAAAAAGTGCTTGGTGCCTCTTGCTCTTTCTCTACAGCTGAAAGCAGTGATTTCAAAACAGTATAGTCACAAAAATAGCAAGACTGGAATGGGGAGAGATATGGGACACAAGGTCAGGCGTTTTGCCTGAGAAGATAGCAGCTACAGCAGGCAGCTGTCTCCCTGGTCACAGCCCTCCCAGGAGGAATCAACTGACCTCCGATAACTGCCAGGCTAAGGTCTCAGGGACATTGCTGTAACTCTAGGCTGTTTAAAGTACCCTGGGGACTAAGCCTAAAATTGCTAATTTTGTACAGATAATAAGCTTTTATACAGGTGTTAGAAACTGAGCATTTTGTTGAAGTCAGCTGACAGCAACTATTGGCGTCTCTGGCTGGGAGAGGAGGCGGAGGTGGGGGATCTTCATCTTTCAACGCCTCTGGCACCAGGCTGCTGAAACCATCTGTTGTTCTGTGCAAAAGTTCGTGTTACACGTACACTGCAACCTCAGGATTTGGGCACATGATAGAGTTACCGGCACATAATGAGTTACTGTGTGCCAGGTGGACCACAGTTGTGGCAGGAGGCTGTGCATGGGGCTGGCACACAGCAAATGCAAGGTGAATCACGTTATCTGAGACCTCAGTGAAAGCAGGAGGGTACCTCGGATTTGTGGCAGGGTTAAAAATGTGTGAAGAATCAGTTACTATTCTGTTTAAGCCCTCAGATCTTGAATGAAGCAAACTTCTGTCGGGTTCCTTGACCTTAAATGATTCCTGAGTAAGATGAGGGGGTTTACTGGATGAGGCTGCAGATGCTTTAGCCAAGCAAATTCCAGATCAGAACAGAAAGTTTAATGAATCTCCATGTGAAATCCTTGTTTTCTGCCTGGTTTATAATTGGCTGTTATAAAACCCCAGCATATTCTTCTGCCTGGATTTCATCAGATATAGAAAAAACAAGTATTAAAACTATGATGTAAGTCTTAATATCTGATGAAATCTTAACCTTATAGGCAACTCAAAAGAATTACTGCATTTCAAAGGCCAGTAGCCAAGACAATAAATACTCATTGCAGATGAAATATATGGTGAGGTCAATTTGGAGTGCTGCAGAAGAGGTTCAGTGAAGTATGGAAAAGTTCATGAAGCTCTTTCGTTTCCTGACAGCCTGGAGTGATGCAGGTAGCATTGAAGCAACAGCACTTCCCCAGGTGAAGCCAAATATCATCCCTTCCTGGATCTGAGACTAGGATAAAATATCATGCCATCATGCTCTCCTGTGGCTTCCCAGCTATATTTTTGCTCTCACTTGGCAGAAGAGGAGGGCTGGTTTATCAGCCTTATCCCAGCCTTTTTGTGGGCTGAACTCAATCAAGCTGCTTGATGCAGAAGAACAGCCTGCACCCCATCCTGCTGCTGGACCCAGAGCATCATAGAGGCATGCAAGGAGTGCAGAGCACCTACTGAGAGGATGTGATTTCAGTGTGGCCAAGGGGAGCTGGCAGGTGACAGGGATAAGGCAGGCTTCATGCTGCAGCAGAAAGAGATGTTCACAATATCACGGAGGGCAATGGCAGCGGAGGGCCAGGAACAGACCCTCCATCAGCCAGGATGCAGGGGGAAGTGAGGAAGATTGTAGAGCTGGTTGAGGCATGAAAGGAAGAAGAGTGTTGGAGGAGTAGTCCCTGCAACCAGGCATCCAGGGAGAGACTCGTAACACAGATAAAAAAAGTAGATTTGAACTGGGTAGATAAAAAGGGCAGGGAATTTTTTTCTGCAAGGATACAGAGAAGTGCTGCCTACAACACTTTTCTCTTGTCATCTGATAGCTAAGGGCAGGTGCACGTATCTAGTCTGCCTGCAGAGAGCTGTAATAAACCTGTCACAGTCCAGACATTTCCACTACACTCCGGCACTGTGGCAGAGTTTAGGCCACCCCATTGCCTGTCTGCTTTCCTCATCCAAGACTCTGTTCACCTAAGCTTATTTGCAGCCCTCCCAACAGCAAAGCTCAGCCAGGAGGATCAGAGTCAGTCAAGCTAGTTTCCTCTTTGGGCAAGTAAGCCCTCTTCAGTGTGGCAGAACAGCACAGGTATGGCTGGGAAAAGGCACAGTATCTTGGGAGCATTTATAAAATATTTACTTTGAAGGACTGCACTTTTTTATCTCGTTTATATATGGTGATATATTTTTTTCCCCATTCTTCCCCATTGTTGAACCCTGAACTTAATACCAATGCAATATGCAATTACTATCAGCACCTGCCTGCCTCACCTACCGTGTTGATAAGTGAGCCAGTGTATATAAATCACACTGCATTTGTCCCTTCCCTGCTGTCCTTGTCACCTCAGAGCTACTGACTGACCAGGAATCCCCAGGACATGTGCACTGAAGGGATGCAGAGAGATGAAGAGGGAGAAGGGAACAAGGGAGGTTTGAGGTGGCTCAACTGCAAGAGCCTGGGCATGGTCTGGGGCAGCTAGGAGGCTGGAAGGAAGAGCAGGAGTGCAGTGAGGGTGCGGTGCAGGTGTCAGCAAGACCTCCTCCAGATGAACACACCATCTCCTCCCACCAGACACCATCACCACCCAGAAGTGATGTCTTAGTGGGAGAGTGGGTAGCAAGGCTTGTTTTGACTGTGGGGTAAAGCAGGAGAGGAAGAGGGAGACACTTACACGGACTGGGATGTGCTGCACAGGCTGCTGTCGTACCTTCGCCTGACACCCCAGGCTGCCCCCGAGCTGGATGGCTGAGCACGGCCTGTCTGCTGGGCCGCCAATCTGGAGTGGCGATGACATGAATGGAATAAGGAAAAATACTCCGAATAGGAGAAACAGGTCATGCTGAGGCAGAAAGAGAGACACACATCCACAGAAATGGAGCGAGAAAGCCTGCCGGTCAGGGCGTTGAATAAAAGCAGATGGCCACGGCTTGCACTGCACTGGATTCAGCTGCTCACTCGGCTCGAGTTTATTTTTGGCCCTCTGAGGAAGCGTCAGGGGATTCAAATGACCATATAAGACAACAGTGTGGTTAACCCTACCACCACCGCACAGGAAGCAGGCATGAGGCGAGGTGAGGTGACATTCATCGCCTCCACAGTGCCATGCAAGCAGGTCAGAGATGAGTGCAGAGGAGGACCCAGGGTGTCTGGGTGTCAGCTCCATTTCAGTTCGGCTCTCCCAGGTGGCAGAAGAGTTCAGCAGTGCTACAGATCTGGTGATACAAGCTGGAAAGATTTTCCCTCCAGTGGGAGGTCAAACTCTGCTGGGCTAAGGCAAGGGCAGGACAGGTTAATGCACAGAAATGCTAATGCTGCCTTTTGCCAAAATAGCAGTTATCAAAGGATACCCAAGGAGGACAAGACCAAATGGCCAGGGAAGCCCTTATTCTCCCCAGCATCGGGTCCCCACAGCACAGCTGACAGTTTAAGAACATAGTAATGACACTGAAAAGCCACAATCTTTGGTGGGGAGTAGGATTGCAGGCTATACTGCATCCTGATTCCACAGCTATGAACATGCTTACATTGAATTATCATTGAATTGTTCCCAGTTTCCCACCCTTGGAAACCAAACAACCACAGGTGTTAATGAGCAAGGCATCAGAGGGTGGAGTTATGACAAAGGAGGAGCAAAATTTTGGTTACTCCTAGTTTATTAAAAAATGAAAAATTAGTTTAAAAGGATATTTTCCCTTGTTTTGGAGGTGATTTTGGGACCTATTCCCTTTTCCCTTGAGAGATCTACCTTATATAAAATGAAAGGGGAACATGGCCTGTGTTCGAAACTGTCAGCAGGTCTCTGTGATGACAGCTCAGCATTGCAGGGGAGGGGGATGGTGCCACAATTTGGTATCTGGAGCTGTTCTTGGCTGAGAGTAGCATGTTTGAAATCTGACTGATCTGAAATAGCCACATCCTCTAAAAACTGGAGTATCTAAAAGGTAGCCAGCTCACATTATACCTATTTTTTGCATCTCTCTTATGTTTTCCCATAACAAATGCTGTCCTCCCTCTCTGTTAAAACCTTAACTTGGCGTATAGTGTGTCCCTGAGGGGGAAAGGAGCAGGTAGCCCCGGGAGGGCTTCTGTGGCTCAGGAAAACTTGTGCTTCTTTTTTTTTTTTTTATTTGTTACTTAAAACAGACAGCATCAAGTATATTCTCCTTTTGCTGTGAGCACATAAATTGTTGACCTCATTGGATTTATAGCAGACTCCGGCTTTCACACTAATGACAGGCTTGCAGAGGAGCAGCCTGGCAAAGCTAATTAGAGAGCACGTGGTCCGACAGGGGAGGCTGTTTTCCATTCCCGGGCAAGGACTCACTTACCTTTGCCAAGGGTAGATGCGGTAAGGTGGGTTGTGGGGGCTGGCATGGCTGGGGGTGGCCGCCGCACCAGCACATGCCACCATTGACTTCTGGTGGCTCTGGGCACCTGGCTGACCTGCGGGGTCCTCCTCCAAGCTCTGCTGAATGGCCATCTTTATAAGCTCATCTTCACTCAGGCTACTGTACAGACTGTATTCCTCACAGCCTATTGTTTGTCTTTGAGTATTTGCTGCCGTTGTAGCCATTTTTATTATTCTTTGCTTTCCTATAAAAAGAAATTTTGATCATCAAAATCTGGAAAATGAAAGAAAAACTCAACTGTCTTGTGCTCAACTATCATCTCTGCCTCTTGATTAGACTGACCAGAAAATCCTTCAGAAATCCTCCACCAGGGAGAGAATGTTATCAAAATCTGCATGTAAACTTAATGAACTAAGTCTTTTCTATCACACAGAAATAACTGGTTTAACTGGTGTTTTAAAAAGAGGAAGTGAGCTGTTGCACACAGGGCAGGTTTTTATCTGCTTCTTTTGGTTTCCAAATCTCAAGGGAAAATAGGTAAAGGAAATCCCCGTAAGATTAAAGAGGTACAGTTTTGAATTTTATTTCGGAGAAGACCAATGGATGTCTCTTTTTATTGGCTTTTTCTTGCTCTAATTGCTGGAAATTAAGGGAAGAGGTTTGTCTCTTTGCTGGTTTTTCTGAAAGGACAGGTTCTCCACCATGAAGTGTAAAGAAACTGTTGAGCAAGTTTTTCCTCCATATCTGGAGATCTCTCGAGCAACATGCAAAGCTATGCTTTGAAGTGCCTTTGTTTCACTCAGCAAGGAAAGCAACACAATATTGCTGTGTTTCACTTCTGATTTTTTTGCTTTTTCACAGAACAAAGTTCAAGGTCATGAGTGAGCTGGAAATGAGAGAAGGGGGAAATACTGGGGCACACTCAGCAATCACAGAATGACTGTGAACCACCAATGCAGCATGGACTAAAAAGGCCAGGATGATCCAAAATACTGAAGAATTTCCAGCAGTGATAGGGAAGTACTAATGGCATGAATGGTATGATGCTCTAGCAGGATCTCAATTGGATGCCAAAGAGCACTCTGGCCACCAGTGTTCAAGAGCCAAGGGATTATTTTATGGGAGGAAAAGGAAAAGCTTGCCTCAGAAGATGACAGCCAACATGGAATAGGTTTACTTTTTATAAGCACTGAGTGAGAACTGTGTAAAATAATGGAGAACAGTGGGATGAGGAGCAACAGGAACAAAGCTACCCAGGAGGACATGAGCATGACAGGGTGGGACAGGGACCCAGCAGGAGGGGGCTGTGGAGGCATGTCCCCCAGGTGCAGAGAGGTGAGGGGCTGGCTGAGAGCACCTGTAGGGTTGTCAAAAAAGCTTCCTGACTCCACCGTGTCTGCCGGTCCCTGTCCCAGCGATGCCACAGCAGGGTTGGTCTGCAGCTCCACACAGCCTGGCTGTGCCCAGGTTCAGGTCCTACTGATCTGGGCCACCCGGCAGAGCCACGAGCATGAGCACCACTGTGCAGGAACCTGCCTCAGCAGGAGCCTCAGGGGAGCCATCAGCTTCTCTTCCCTGTGCAGCTGCTCTCTCCATCAGGCAGAGCCTCTGCCCCCAGCTCACCAGGTGCCTGGGGCAGCCTGGCTTCCTGGGCACTCGCACCTACATTGATGGCAGACAGGTCCAGAATGCCACAAGCCTCACACCAGGAAAGTACCCTGCTATGGTAGCCCTTCCTGCTGCGTGCACAGCCCAGAGACGGTCCTGACCTGGAGGAAATGGTAGCTCCCCAAATGGCAACAGGGCCATATCTATGCATGTCCAGACCCTCATGTTTGTTTCTTTAACCATAATTTAAAAAAACCCACCCCCTCACAAACTAATACAGTTTGAAGAAATTGCAAGAACTTGAATTAGGCCATAAGTAACTTAAAATCTTGAATTTAAGGTTTTCACTTCAGACATGGTGGTATCTCCCACATCAATAGCCACCTCAGACTAGCCAAGCCCACCCCAGAAGTGTGAAGACTTCAGGGTAAAGGGAAGCCCAGCAGATTTCAAGCTGACATTATGACGTTTAACAACAAAGGATGTATTTCACATCCATGAAAAATGCCAAAATAAAACCTTCAATTGGCTCTAAACAGTGCTGCCAAATTTTGATGGTTTTTATTTTTTTAAATTTATTTATTTTGTTTATTTTTTTATTTTATTTTTTATTTTCATTTTCAGCTGTATCTCTCATGGCTACAGTTAGTTCCCTTCTCCAGTGGGAGCTGGTATGCCTCAGCTCTGCTATGACCCTTGCTGTCCCAAAGATCCAAGCCCAGACACCAAGCAACAGATAGCTCTTGTATGGAGCTGCTGCCCATCCTGCACCCCAGCTGCTCCAATACCTGTCTTTGGCTGTGCTCCAGTGAGTGTCTGGCCAAGAACAATGACACAACTTTGTTTCTCCAGCAGCTGCTGCTGCTGTTTGGCTCTCTCAGCTCCTGAAATGCTGAGCAGCACTTGCATAGCTGCCCATAGGTACTCACGTAGTAGCTGGTGAATGGCAGATGTGTGGAATCCACGGGCTGGAGTCAGAGGGCTTGTCTGAAGCATCCAGCACTGCATCCAGCACTGTAATGCCTTAATGTACGGACCTGGCCCCAGTGGTGACTCAGAGACCTAAACAAAGCCGTCAGTGCAGAGGGCAGGATCTGATCATAAGCTCCTAATGGAGGTGATGCACAGTGACTCTTTGAAGGACGCAAGAACGGAGATGAAACTGCTCCTCTTTGAGGGCAACCTGCACCAGTGCAACCTGGGACACAGATCCCTTCTCAATATCCTGCCCAATCCCATCACCGGCATCCTTATGCCACAGGAGGTAGGGCAGGCAGTGAATCCATCCTCACTGTGCTTCTGAGCTGGGTGTTGCAGTACTTTCAGGGGCAGTCAGGGCTTTGAAGAGTGTGCAGGAGACTACTGCGAACATGATGCCACACCCTGGCACAGAGGAGCTAACTGATTTAGCTATCTCACTAAATTCCCAGTGGATCTAGGTATAAAAGCCATTTCTGCACATCTTCCCCTCCTTTTGTTTCACACCTCGTTAAGGCACAGAGAGTGAAAGGGAGATTTTAAGTTTGCATGGATCATTCCTATTTCACCCGCTTATTCTTGGTAGGGGTTAACTGGGTCCAATCCACTTGCAGAGCAAAGGGAGAATGTTTCCTGCATGTTGGTGAGCCTCACTAATCTAAATATTTTGACAAGAGTTCCACAGAGTGCAGAAACAACAGTGTTAGCTGCAGCTCGCGCCACTGACTCATCCTGCAGGGAGAAACTTTGTAGGGCTCAAAATAAAGCTTTCACGTCTGCTCATTGAACTACACAAACATGATGAAGGTGTGAGGGTCATATCCTGGGGCTGCAGGAGCTTTTGGGCCCTTACTGAGAGCCAGAGACAGCCTTGACTGCCCTGAAACCCCACAGAGACTGTTATAGTTGGGCTTGAAGCCATTCTTGCATACCCCTGCCTGTGTCCCCTTGCTCAGATTGACCTGTGTGGTGTGACTGAGTTTGGCAGGAGGCACAACACATGCCTTCTCCCTACAGCTCCCTGTGTGACAGCCCTGAGTGGAGTGGAGCAGAGCAGAGCTACCACCCTCACCCTACCACCAAAAGCACCTGGGGATGCTTTTGTTTGAAGCTGGAGGACCACAGGGCACCAGCACTGGTCCAAATTATGTCTATAAGAAGTCACAGTGAGCCAGCTGAGCTGCAATGACAGGCCGAGCACATGCCCTTGGCTAGAGGCTAAAAGCACCAGCACCTGGTTCAGTTTACCCTTCTTTCCCTATGGCTGAACTTGGTGTGTTCCTGTGAGTTCCTGGCACTGCCCTAGCTCAGCTGATACAGCAGGGCTAAGGTTACCCCATCTGAGGCCATCAGTGAACTGCCAACCACAGCCTTATGAAAGCTCACTAGACTAATGTGCTGTAAGGTAAATATTTTCCACATCCTGTAATGAAGGTGTGAAAAAAAAAAAAAATCTCTGTTGCTAGAAATGTTTGAGCCGGTTTGGAATAGTGGGATCTGGCCAAAGTGGTCTTTCTAAATGCAGCTTGAATCTATTTTCTTGCCCTAAGCCTCCTTAGCGTAGGTTTACAGTATTGGAATCAGATTTATAAGTTAAATGCTGGGTTTACTGTTCACCCTAACTTCAGGTTTTGTGGGGATGTTTTAAGGTTTGGCTGTACCCTGCATTTCTCTGACAGCCCAAGATTCCATCCTCACATGCAAGTAGCACACAGCATTGCATCTACTGGGACAGCAGAACCTGATTTTTGAAGCTGTGCCCTTATTATTCCTTAGTGAATGCTTTGCCTTCAGGTCTGGATGGCTTCACAAGTGATCTCTCTTGGCAGAAACATATCTTAGGATGCTGCTCTCTGTGCTGCCACTTAGTAGTTCAGTCTGACAAGATCTTCAGGAATCTAGACTTACCACCATTTCCACCTAGAGTCTGATACTTATTTTTAATTTTGCTGTCCTGATTTCAGAAAGAGTTTGTTTATTTATATGTAGGAACCAGGCCTGTACTATACAGGGGTAACTTAGCTGCATCCAGTGACCAGAAGGCAAGGTTAGAAATGAAATGCTTGTGCCAGGGCCACACTGCAATGCTCTGTCTTGAGTTCGTGGGCAGCTATACCTGGCAGATCTCTGAAACCAAAGGTATTACTCAAAGGGTGGCTACTAGTAATCACCTCCTTGATAGCAAAAACCACAGACAAACACAATTAGGTTGCTATTATAGTTGGACGACAAGATCTGTCAACGTACAGTGTTTGGGAGAATGGGCCTCTGATCCCTGATGCAACATAAATAAACAAGGATTACAGCTGGCTTTGAACATGCAGAACCGTGCAATTCAATACCATTAGCATCTGAAACAACTGGTCCCCATTGATAGCACTTCCTTAAAGAAAAGCTTAGGGGAGCTGCCTGTCCTCCCTTAATAGATTCCAGGCAGCAGAATTAGCAGAATTACTTATTTCTGTCAAAGGAGGGTGGCAGGTGAATGACAAGGTCATTAAGGGAACAGAGCCAGACTTTGCCTGCCTTTGGCTTTTATCCCAGTCAGCTGGTAACTCAATACAGGACCTTGGTATTTACGGCTCAAGGTGTGATAAACCATATTTCTAAAAACATTACCGAGTCTCTGGAGGCTGCAAAAGAGAGAGGAGAAGAGCAGCTTCATAATTTTGTCTTTTGCAAGGAATGATTAAGCCCCAGCCTCTGCAAATATGTTTGCCTTTCCACGTATTTGTCATTACTTCTGAAAGCAGAAGGAGCACGTGGGGGAAGGCAAGCACGGCTGGATGTCTTCACAGCAAACCAAGCCTCCACTTCATTTCTTACTGCGGCACCTTTCAGGACAGATCCTCTGTGGGCAGTGGAAACCAGATCAACTTGCAGCACTCAAAGTACTCATATTTTTGCTGCATTTTAGGTCAGTTTCCAGATAAATCTTTGCAGTTCTCTAAGGATATTATGCTGGATAACTACTACAGGGAAGCAAATGATTTTTTAAAACCAGAAAGATTTCAGTGCCCATCAGATCTGCCAGATCTGAGACATCAGAAGAATGACACCTCATGCTGTCCGGCTGCAGCAACAGGCAAGGATTCTTTGTAGTGACAGCTTATGCAGACGGCTCAAGTTCTAGCCCAGTGCTGAAGGAGCAAAGCCAGGCTTCCCGAAGGAATCCTCTGAGCAAACAAATCCCCTTGTTCAGCCCCAGCTGTCAAAACAGGTCACCTATCAGCCTGGCATATGCTCTAATGCCACAAAATCATGATTTTGCACAAATTCTTTACTGGAAATCATACACCTGCAAGATTTTATTTCTTCTCAGAACACATTAATTCACACAGCAATCAGTGCAATATTAGCTTCTTTTCAAACCAACTAAACATTTATAAATTAAAGAAATCATTTGCCAAGGTGATTTTTCTCCTTCACACTGTGCCTTGTATGCTACATTCCACTTTAGTATATTGTAGCTACAGCACTGATTTCTGAGCAAGATATTCTAGGGACAAAGCATCACCTGCAAGTTAAAATAAAATAAGGAAAAGGCAGAGCTACTGTTCTGTTTAATACCAGAGAGTGTTTTATGGCATATTTGAAAAAAACAAACCCCCAAATAAACAAAAGCAAATCACAAAACTTTTCAAGACTGTGTTAGGGTGTTAGGTTACAAACTGTTGTAGGAATAAATATTTACATAGACACAGTAAACCGAGAAGTTGAAAATACTAATTAAGTTCAAAACATGCATATTTGCATTACCTTTTTGTTCTGAAATAAAAGGGTAAAAATACTGTTGAAATGGGTTATCTCCTTGATTAAGTCTTAATTCAGAAAATCCTTGCTGGTATTTGTCTCCCTGCTTTGCCTGGATGTTTCGATCAACTGCAGGACAGCTTGGAAACACTCTCGCTTTGAAGCCTGGAGTTTATTTCTGGATCACCCCATGATCAGCGAATACAAGCCAAAATATAAGTTGTTCCGAATCTCAGATTTCCTGTTTGAAGATGCACGGCAGAAACTTTTACTGATCCTGAAGTTCTTCCTTGTTGCGTTATCTGACAAACTTCACTTCATCGAGCATCCTGTAGCTAAATGACACAAACTTGACCTTTCTATTACATCATTATTTATTGTCCCTGACAAGTAAACCATATATGGACATGTTTCTGGAACCTAAAGAAGAAAAAAAAAATTGCCATGTAATTTTGAAGTAAAATATGCTGTCCTGGAGAGTTTTATTTACTTGGGGGGAAGTGAGCTCCCTTACCTTTTCTTTTAGCTGATGCTTGTTAAACAAAACAGCCAAACATTACATGAGTATTTACTGATGTTTTAGAGTTGTTCATATATTTTTAAGGCTGCAAGTTGGAGACTTCAGGATTCCAAAAGATGACAAAAGCAGTTGTGAACCTGTTGCAAGTAGTATTTGTAAGAGCTTACTAGTGGAAAAGAACTGCTCTTGTACCACCTAAATGTGAACAACAGACACTCTCTCGGACTCCTTGAGGCCATAAATGGGAAGTGATAGCCACCTTCCCCACATCTGGAAGAGGGCAAGCTGGCCAAGGAGATTCTGTGAGATAGCACTGACCCAGGGATGAGTTAGAAGAAAAGAGTCAGGCACATATAGGAGAACTGACACTTGGATCGGCTGGAACATTGAGATAATAATGCTCAGTTTGGGAAGGTTTCCATGTGTTTGTCCAGCTAACACAATGAATGAAGGGAAACTATAATACAGTATCAAAATTATGCCTATGCTTTTTCCTTCAGCTTCTGCTTTACTGATTGCCACAGCAAAATGTTGCATATAGAGAGAATAAAGCCTAGATTGCAGTGGCTCTGCAATCCTTTCTGAGTACCTTGTGAAGCCTCAGGCTACCTGTACATACCCTGTCAGTGCATAAACATCCCCATCTAAAGTTTAGCAAGAACAATCTTGAAGGGAAAAAATGTAGCCAAACCATATAATCCACTAATATGCAATTCCTTCCAACTCATCTACTTCTTTTGTAGGGTCTTTGAGGACCAGCATGATTTCCCTCTCCATGCTTGCTCCTCAATCCATTGTGCTCCAGCATGAGAGGATGGCCAGCACATGACACATCTCCCTTCCCTGCTGTCCAAAAAGCTGTCTGTCCCTCATATCTAGTGCTGGGGCTGTTGTTTTGTCCAAAGTTAGAGTCATTCAGCAGTTACTGTGACAGGCAGAGGAGCCCTGGAGGTCATCACCGAAAGTGTGTGAAATTCTTACGCCCTTGACAAGATGTCAGCCAACCCTCTGTGACTTTTAAACAATATCCAATGCTTTTTTTACCCTGATACTACCTCAAGATTGTAACTAGCCTTGGCTTAAAACCAAAACTGAATATCTGCTACTTTTAACCCTTCTGCTTGCTTTTTGGCAATCTCTCAGCAAATTCATGCCCCTGTCACGGTCTGGTTGATCACTGAACTCAAGAAAAAATGCTGATACTGTGATGCAGATTCACACTTCATACAGGCAAAGGTGTCTGTGTCTTCCAGGATGGACTGTTTGATTAACACAAAGATACTGGGGCTCGAGGTCCCGTAAGCCATGAACATTGTAGGTGGTTGCCCATGACATTCAAAGCAAGCACACTCTTCAGCTCCCTTGCAGAGCTCTGTGCACCCCCTTGATATATTTGAAACTTCTATAAATGCTGATGCACAATTTTCCAATAAAAGCACAGGACTCTGCTTCAGAAGATCTATTTTCAGATACCACTAACTCTCCCTTTTGTCTTGAGTAAATCATTTAGCTCCTCTGGGTATCATTTTCTACATTAGTGAAGTGGAAATAATCAAATGCATTAACTTCAGAGAACAGTCCAAAATTCCTTGCTGATGGGAAGCCAACAGGACTACTTATATGGATAGAGATTGCTGAATAAGGCCTTATTTAATTAGTATCTGTGAAATCCTCAGAGTAAGACCTCATAGAAGTTTGAAATTTTAATTACAGAAACAATACTGTACAGAAATGAAATCATACATTTGGGGGTTGGTTTTTTTCCCAATAAAACTGTGCTGTGTCTTTATTACAACACATCCAAAGCATAATAATAACAATCATTATGATTTATTAGCATTGCATCAGATTGGCTAATATTTCCCCTGGGGCATGCAAAGTTACAGATCTGCATTTTCAGCTTAACCCCAAGACATTCCAATAGATTACAAATGTCACCTGAAAAAATAAATATGTACATTTATACTATTTTCTGGAACAAATTTCAAGCTCAGACACTGCATATTAGATCCACTTGCTTTATCTTTAAATAAGAGTCATGGAAATGTCTGACATGCTGATGGGGGAGTCAGCTAGGGTCTCACAAACAGTGAAAGAGATTTGAATCTGCGAGAGGAAAAGAAGGATGACCATGTGAAAATGAATGGCAAAATGAACAGCAAGATAGCTTTATTCTTCATGTTTCCTCTAAACAGCCAGCAGAAGTCAGGTTAGGAAAGCACATTTAACATTTCTTTTGTTTTTGGATTTGTTCAGGGTCTCTCCTTCCTTTAGTTGAATTAAGTATTCTTCATCTCTACTAAGCTACACAGTTGAATCAGGCAGCTGAGGCTTGAGAAAAAACAGAGTTGATTTGTGCATCCCAGGGGACTGGTGAGCTTTTTACCGATCCATTCTGTATGCAGAGCTGCCATAGATGTGCCATCACATGATGAAATTCATGAAATTACCACAAATTGTATTCCATAGACTGTACCTACCTATGGTGACTAACTCAACTGCATCCAAACACTTGGCTCATGTGTGGCTGTTCTGAAAGGAAGAAAATGCTGATTAGTTCTGACAGTAACAGTTCCTGGACAGAAAATCCTCATAATACTTTCCTTCAGAACAGCATACCTCTTCGTGCACCAATTACATGGAACTGTTCCCTTGTTACTTAGATCTGGGCTGAACTTTTTTGCTGCAGAAGGGCAGCAAGGTGTTTATGGTGTCATATTTCACTGAGAGCATAGAGCTAGGGCACACATATTTTACCATCATATTCCAGCAAGCAGAGCTTTGCATTCAGTGTTGTCATGTTGTGCTTCCATCGGACACTCCCAAAGTTCAAATGCAACCACTAGAACCACAGGGAACTCTCCTGTGCCTCCTGCTACACAACCCACATTCAAATAACAAGAATATAGAAACTCTCACAGGGGAAGATGGTTTCAATTTCCTTTGCAAGAACTAATGATTGCTTTGGCCACAGTATCCCAAGAGAGGTGAGGAGTAAGAGGCACTTGTATGGGAAAAGGTGCAGGATGTCACACATGCCCTGGGGGAATGAATATGATAGACATTATTCCTTGCTGACTTTGCTGCCTAAATACTTCATTGCTGGAAAGATGTAGGTGTTTTGAGATCACTCTACTAAGAATATAATTCCTCTTTCATGAGGAATTTATCCCACTTTAATGGCTGCTGACACACACCCCGAGTCAGAGTGGTCTTCGACTCACTGTAGAATTTCCATCTCTGCACAGTGGCTCCTCACAGAATATTTTTCCCTTTCAAATCCAACCAAAATGAAGTCCTCAATCCTCTGGAAATATGACATGAGCACCAAGGGGAACAGCCAGTATCCAGGGTCCTGAGCCCCATTTCAGGTATCTGATAACTCAGCCCTGCCAGTGAGCTTTGGAAGAGTGTGCAGCTACTTCAGTCACACCTCTCTGCAAATGTCACCATAAGGTCACATCCACTGACTCAAACTGAAAGAAGAATCAGTCAGAGGGAACATGAAATGCTAATATGAAGTGAGCACAACCCAAAGACTGTATAAACAAATATATGTTCCTTGGAGGAAGAGGGAAATCATAACCATTATCATTTAGTTCTCTTTGCTGTGCAAATATCATTTATCTTATTTTATAATGTATGTTAGTAAGAACTCTGATGAAAGACTCGCCTTTACCTTGACCTTTAAGAAATCCACAAAATTCAGAGATATTGCTGCAACCCCATTGCTTTGAGGCTCTTGGAGGACGAGAACAGCAGCCTGAGACACAAGCTGCCATGAATAGCAAAGGTCCTGGAAAAAAACAGTGACTCCAAACCAGCATTGATGGAAAGATGAAATTAATTCTTACGAAAAACAACCTTTTCACAGTTTTTTAAAGGCAGTCTTTGGAAATATACAATGGTTTTTTACCTCTCCATTTGGTCCCTTAGGCTAGTTTATGAACAAAGTCTCTTTTGAAGCTTTTCTCTGGTACCCTCTAATTCCATTAAGACTAATTTGTTTCTAATTTTTTGTCTGCTGTATGTAAAAAGACCTATTACATTGCTCTCCTTTCCTTCCTGCAATGACATGAGAACAACAGGCTTACTATGTATGGATCTGTCTTTGCTTTAGATGCCACAGATAAACAGACCGTGAAAAACAAAACACCTTAATTCCGCAGCTTGCAGAAATGTCCATAACTTTTAACACAAGGAAGTTCAAGGAATTACGACTTTCTATATGCTTGGAGTGAACCTAAGATAGGTGCTAGTGGAGTGGCAAGGCAGAGCAGGGCCTTCCTGTGAACAGGCCCAGGGAAGACATGGGTGGGTTGGGCTCCTGAAAGATGGATTCCAGCCTGGGATGGATGCTGGAGGTTGCTTCTGACCAACCCCAATGGAAGTGGGTTCACTGCCACGGGGCTCAGAAACTCAAAACAGGGGGACAAGCTGCCATCCACATTGACTCCTGCCATGTTATTCTGGCCCACTACCCTGGTGAGATATCCAGGCCTGGGGCATTGCCGGTTGCTGTGCAGACAAGAGCAGTGGAGGAACCAGAACACTGTGCTAAAGGACACTGCACCACCATCTCTATTTACCCAGTGCTGGTTTTGTGTGCGGTCAAATTCATATGTGATAGATACCATACCTGAAGCCCTTGTCAAATGCACTCCTTTCTATTGCCATGGAGAAAGCTTCATTATCTTGCACTGACTGAGCATGCATGAGAGAAGAACAGAGGTTTATGCCTCCTTTACGTTCAAGTCACAAAGCAACAGGTTTGTTTTGCAGGGCTGACATTTAATTATTTGCCCTATAACTCAGGTTAAATTCAGAGCTAAATTTAGGACAAGTGTCTGGACAGAATGTCATGACACCAGTGTATATCTGTTGCACGACATACCATATGAACGAGTAATTTTCAACTCAGTTAAAAATAACCATACACTTACCTAATTCAGCAGACTTCTGGGCTTTGTCTACTGAGCTGGTAAGCAGACAGTGCAATAGTAAGAGTCACAAGTATACTGTGGGAAGAAACATCTCTAAAAGCAAGAAGACAAAAAATATCCTTCTGTGTCTGTTCTCTCTTTTTTTTGTGTGTCAAGTAACAAGTACTGTCCCATAGTAACATAAGTATGATATCTGGATTATCTTAAAAATCGATTTGAATAAGTAAATTAAAGTGGAATTGTGAAAAGAGTTTTTTCCCATTGAAGTGAGAGATCTCTGATTCCTTAAGGGCAGAGTCAAATGGCTGTTAATGCTCCCACCCCAACCCTAGAAGAGGACAGATTTTTTCACAGTAAAGAATTAGCTTGCTACTACCTGGTTTCCTCAGCTACAAGATGGCTATATAACACCAATTAATGTGGCTGCATCAGGGAGACTCAGATCTCCAAACTAAGCATCATTAGCTTCCTGAGCTGTGTTTGGAGATAATAGCTCCAGGGAAAACCTAAACACAGGAAAAACATACCTGTTGTACAAGTGTCAAAACCACAAAGGGAGGTAGCAAATCTGTTTAACACCTTTACAGATAAGATGAGAACAGCACAACGGCACAGATGAATGCTGGAGTAAAGAGCTGAACTTCAGCCAAGCTGCCTTGATGTCACCCAGAGCTGTAACAATAAGGAGAATTTATTTTCTCTATTTGAGCTGCTGACATGCTTCTGTCCTTTGGCATTTATCTAGACCTACCTTGCTGATAAGGAAAGGTCAGGGTGTTTTCACCAGGCCTTGGATGGTGGGGCTGTGGGCACTTCAGCCATGCAGGGGTGATAGCCATCAATATCGAGTCCTCCAGCTGGAGGAGCTGGCAGCCTCCATGGTTCCTTGCTGTGGAAACATCCTTACAGGTCCCCAGCCCCACTCATGTCCCTGGAGCTACAGCCTGGCAGAGGGAAGGTCGCCAGGATGAGACAGTAAATGCTGAATGCTGCTGACCATCAAATGGAGGGGCCAACAGCTGTAACAAGCAACCCAGCCAGTTATCGAGGTGCTCTGGGAGCACCAGGGCAGCTTCTGGGGCTGCTGAGCAAGCACTGATGGAGTGCCTGTGACAGCTGAGCAAGGAGAGGGTTTTTTTTCAAGGCAGTAGAAATGGGATACAAGCAGTTACCTGGGTCACTAAGCTAAAGCTGGTCCAGCCCAAATGGAAGGAGCTGGTACCTGACAGTTGCCTCGTAGCTGATGGGAGCCTGTGCAGGCTCAGTGTGGGGGCAGGATGATCAATCATATCATGGGCTACAGAAGGTACTGCCAGGTATCCTCAGTAAAAAAATCTCACCCTTAGGTGGGACAGTCCTCTGGGAGGAGAGCAAGGCACAGTACTATGACAGTGTAGGGAAATGTATCCATCTACTTTGTGCTTGCTCTCCAGATACAAAAGCACTTTGCTGTGAGGGCATGCCAGCATAACACCTTTCAAAAGTGCTTAAATCATGTTTACTGTTTTTTCCTTTAACGAGTGATTTCCTTTTGACCTGAGATTGTGAGACAAGATAATGTGCCAAACTATTCACACTATATATGAGTGAGGTTAGTGCATGCACAGTTTCAAAGACATTTTTCTTGAAACGCTGCAAAGACTGAGTCATTTCTTGGTTGGCACATTCTATTTTTCATGAAAATGATTTTGCTTTCTCTGCTGCAATTGTACATCATGTCTGTCACATTAGTTGTGGTCACTGTTACATATAATGGATTAACCTCTGATATAATCTTATTTTCTGTTGCTTGGCACCTAAAAATCAATCAGGCCATTGGTCAGCTTAGGTCAACCCCATAGGTTGACCCTGACAGTGGTAGTTTAGGAACATTTGCAAGAAACTTTGATCAGGATAAATCGTTTCCCTCAGAGACATTCTGCCAGTTCATGGTGACTGGTTTAAATTTTCAAAACTTGGCACTTTGCAATCTTTCCAAATATTTTTTGATTATTTACTCCTCAATAGTCCCATTTTCATATAACGCTGAACCCAGATTTGAATCTTGCTCAATTCTTTATCTCCGTGACATTTTGAAGCCTCGTGTCCCAGAGCTGCAAATAGCACATTCTTGTGCTAATGTTGTTCAACTTCTGGCAACCTCTTGCTGTGTACCAGCAAAGACCCACAAGTGGTTTGAAAACCAGGAGCAGAGACCTCACTCCTCAATGTATGCTGGCACTGTAAGTCAGGTTCTAGGGGAAAGCCAGGCTGCAGGCACCAACCTACCTTTAACACATTGAGTCACACGGAAATGACACTGGGGTGTATGCTGGAAACACGGACTTCAGGTTGCACAGGAAACTGTGGCTAGCTTTAAAATACAAAGGAAAAAATCCAAAACCTGATACATGCACCAAGGCTTCACTTTTACAGTCAGCAGCTCTTAGTGAATATGTCAGGAGACATACTGGGGCAGTCTGTGCAGCACATGGCAGCACCAGAGCTTGAGACACATTTTTGTCTGAAAAGAGCCAAAACACTCCTAATCTCAAAGAAAATGATTGATAGTGTAAATTTTCACCAGTGCTATGAAATGTTTCTGGCAATTGGTTCACTGCTCAGGATATGAAGACGAACGGAGTGTTTCATAACAATGTTATCAATTTTTTTTAATTTTTTTTTTTTTTTAAAGGGGAGAAAAAAGGAAGATTTACCAGAAACCACTGGAGTAACTGTAGGGTGCTGTCCTCATTACTGATCTTTGTAATCACAATCCATACCACATGTTTGGTCCCAGCATTGTTTTGTTTCTGCTCTGCAGCACATCTGTGTGACAAAGCATGGGAACTAATATCAGTTTGGTGGTATGTTCTGGTATGTTGGTTCAGTACCAGAGAAGATAATGGAGTCACACTGGAGTAAATGAGGAGTCAAAATACCCTAGGGTCTTATAACACACTAGAAATAAGTAAATATGCAAAGAAAGAATAGATCAACCAGGCATTACCAACTTTTCTTTCTCTGGGGTAATTATATTTTGTTACTTACGAAAAACTAATATTTTCTCTTCTGAGCCTCTTGTCATGCAAAGCACATGAAAAAGGACTCTGTCTCTCTCTTCATATATATATGTGCATATGAACATATATCTTACTGGAAATTTTGTATACTTGGGAAAAGACAGTGAAGTCCTTTACCTGAGGTATCCATTGCAGGTACAAATTAGTATGGCAAGAGAATAGCTGGGAAAAATATTGCAGAAGATGTGGGCTTTCTCCATCTTTCTTCATATAAAGAAATAGTTCATATAGTTAAATCTCCACTTCCAGACAATTTCCATCTGTCTTTACCTTCCTCACTGTATGCAGGAAAACTGACAAAGGAGGGCAGGCAATGCAGACTTTTGCATTTATTTATGTACAGAACAAGCAGATTTTTAGATACTATAAATCAGTACATTCCTGATTATTTTAGTGGAACTGTATTTAATTGTTTCCAAAGTAGGAGCACAAGAATCACTTCAGGGAGAGACATGTATGTTCCATCAAGAGATTTTTAAAACTGTGCTTCAGATCCGTGAAACAAAGTGACACACAAATGGTGCACTGCAGGTGATTATGCTGAATTGGAGTAAGCAAACAAAAGAGTTTATTGTAGTAAGTATATATCTTTACCATCCTGGGTGTACAGGTCAGAGTTCTGTACTGGCTAAGCATCCTCAGGAAAAAATCATCATACAGGTTAGCAGCATAGGATGCATATTAGCACCGAACCAAAAGAAATTATGAGAAAGTAAATCTGCAATTACATATAACTAAAATGGCATAACCCAGATACAAGCATGGGACTCTGCACCTCTTGCTTATTTCATAGAGGAAAACCAGGCTTTGCTGTGCAAATGAAACAAAATACTGCTGAGACAACTCCCATTTAGAAGAAGAATAAAAAAAAAAAGATAAAATTTTTGTAGCTCTGCACATGCTGCAGTAAATATGCACAGATGCACCACAGATGCAAAGAGAGAACTAGGAACCATGTGGAAAAAGGACAGCACCAAGAAAGCCAAACAGCTTCTGAAAAATTAAAGACATTAAATTCCAACCCTCCAATTCTGTTTGTAGCATTTGTATTTTGATGCTATCCTGGGAACTGATTATACTGATTTTTTTGCAGTTGATTTTGAAGCTTTCAGGTTGAAAGTTCCCCCAAGGTGTTACATGCGGCAAGGATGGGCATTTGCCCAGATAAGGTTGTTAACATGACTTGGCAGATCTCTGCACAGTGGCAAGCAGTAGAAATATTTGCCAGGGTAAGCCTGATCACCTGGCCTACCATCTCTGCCTGGACATGGCTAAGGCTTCTGGGGGAACAGGGCTTACAGCTGTGGCCAGGAAGTGGCTCTCCACTGCTCCCCTCTGCTCAGCAGAGATTGGCAGGAGATTTGCATCCATCTTGAAATTTATATTTTTCCAAATCATAAATTGGTATAATTAAAACAAATGGGGCTGGATTTTGTTGATGCAGGCAGAGGCTGTCAACATTTCCACCCCCAACTCTGCTCCCTTTCTTTTCAGTAGAAGTCATCAAAATGCATATGGCTTACTGAATAGAGCACTGTGTGTTGGGAAAGGCTCCTAGTATGCTCCCAACGTCATGTGAGAAACCAGGCGTCCCCAGCAATCTCAAATGAGGTATTTGCTGCATGTGAAGAAAAGCAAAGAAATGTTTTGTGACCCAGTTGGGTGAATTCAGGTAGGTGACTTCAAATCCCACCACACCCTTGAATATAAAAGAAGAAACCTTGATGGGGAACATGGTGCTTGGAGACTCTCAGAAACAACACTGCTTCTAAAGAATTTAGGACAAAAGGGAAGAACAACTGAGTAGTAACTTTCCTGTACATGTAAAGCAGCTCTATCTGTAAACTTAGCGTTGTACATTTAAGGGTGGCATCCCACAACATAAAACCAAACTGGTTGATCTCAGTAGACACTGACTGAATTTAAATTTGTTTTGCAACATGGGGAAGGGAAATTGTAGAAGACAGTGAGATGATTCATAATTGCAAAATCAGAATTTATAGCAAATAATATGGAGTCAATAAAAATAAAAAGACAGAACACCATGATTAATACAACACATATGTGCACAAGTGGTTGACTCAGCCCCAGAAAAGCCTAGAACTGATCTGGGAAACTGAGTATGTGCAGCTGCTGCTCACATTAGTCCATCTAATCCATCCGTCATCTCTAATGTGCCCACCACTGTGGTATCTATTTGCATAGCACAGAGCTCAGGCAAATACATGTATTAACCTACTTTATCTAAGTTGCTGCACAAACCTACTTACATAGGTGCTTAGGGCTAGCTGAATTGCCCATCAGCCTTCTCAAAATGGTGCAAGAGGTCCAAGAAGCACAGTCCTTCCCACATATGTTGACAGTATTTCTTTCCAGTAGAGTATCTCTTCAAAAGAATCAGCCAGAAATGCCCATTAATTTTGCACATTTCGAGACCATTCTCTTATAGTTCGCCTTCAAAGACCTCCAACCCCAGTAATAAAACACTCCAGACTTCTAAAATTTATAACCATAAACAAATCAAATATGTAAGATCACATAAGACATTTTGTATAGCACTAATCCTGGAACAGAAGGCTCATTTTTCATATCATATCTCTCAGACTTATTCTGTGCCCAGTGGAAAATCTGTAGCTGGGCCTATATCTCACTTTCTTTTTTGTAAAACCTATGAGACCAGGTACTTTCTTCAGTATTCCAACAGTTATGCCCACTGAATTAATCTCTGCAGAGGTGGCAAGAAAAACTTTTAGCCTGAAGAAAATCTTCAGGAGCTGCTTAGCATCCATCAGTACCAGAAGATTAATTCAAGAGACCATCACACTCTTGAATTACTCTGATAAATATATGTCAATCTTGCTGGGCAGGACCCGAGAGAATGCCCTGAAGTTGTGTCAGAGGATGTTTAGGTTGGAAATTAGAAGAAGGTTCTTCACTCAGAGGGTGGTGGTTGGGCACTGGAACAGGCTCCCCAGGGAAGTGGTGACAGCACCAAGTCTGACAGAGTTTAAGAAGTGTTTGGACAATACTCTTGGGCACATGGTGTGATTCTTGGGGTTGGTCTTGTGCAGGGCCGGGAGCTGGATTTGATGATCCTTGTGGGTTTCTTCCAACTCAGCACATTCTGTGATTCTTCGACCTGGGCTCGCATATCTATAAAATTTCAAATTTTTGGAATTAAACAGTGATTCCAAAGTGCAATTTAAAGGCTGTCAGGTTGGTAATTTTTAGGTTGACTCTTCCTGTTGGAAGCCCTGCCTGCCTCCTTTGTGCCCTGCCTGCCTGCCTTTCTCCATTGTGCAATATGATGCAACATATTTGCTGCCTGGCCCCTGAGTGCAGTGCTAAAGTATAATCTTTGCACCAACTTGTCAGGAAGCTAGACAGGTCTGTTTTATGTTCCCTCAATCTGTATTTAGTCCACTTTGTCTTCATAGGGAGCCCTGCCCAGATAGATATATACATATTTATAAAAACAGCCATTCATTTTATACACAGAACATCTCAAAGTACAGCCATGTCTGTAAACATTTGGGCCAAAACCCCTCTGGCATTGAAACCGCTGATGCCAGAGCAATGAAAGAAACTCTTTTCTTTGTCTCAACGCAACCCTTTCTCATCTTTGCTATGATGCACTACCGAGCAGAGCTGTGTGACCGTATGCCACGACAAAGCACCACATATCATTGCTATTAACAGGCTTAAGAAAGGTACTAGAAAGAAAATCTCATTACTGCAAGCTGATATTTCTCATACAAGGTCTGATTCCAGATGCAAATTCTTGATCTGTTTGTAAACATGAAGTGGAGTCTTTATTTCTTTTTACATTCCATTTAACTTAATATTGAACTGAAAAGGAATGGTGGAATAGCAAAAAACACTGGAATGACCTTGCTTCATAAAATAAAATTTTCCAGGTAGTGTAATTGTTTTTGAAACCAATCAAGCTTTATAAAACCCAGAATATTAAACTTCCCCTATCATCGATTCATAAATTTTTAAAGAACTTTTCAAACAATTACTGTATTCAGTATGCGAAGGACAAATCTACAAGAGATAAGGAGATGCATCCTGCCCTCATCTTTTCTAATTAACCTTATTGTGACATCAACAAATGCAACTGATTCCCTTTCAATTCACATCAGCATCACTGAGCTTATGACTTGGCCAAAGAATTAATTATGTCTCAACAGAAAATCTGTAACTAGAAATATCATCAAAAGAAATACAATGAAGGCTGTTGCCCGGTCTGTCTTTGCTGGCAAATAAGTAATTTTTTAAAAACATGTCAATTGAGTAATTTCCTGGCTGATACAAACATCTTGTCCCACATCAATGGTGTTACCTGCCAGCAGAGAGAGTCCAGGTCTGGAATGAAGATAACCAAGGTGACTTGTGATTTTGCCTGGCATGGCCTAGGTGATAGACAGCATCATCAGTACTAACATATGGACAGTCCCTTCTGCTGGTCCCCAGGGGAGGGGAGGAGAAATTATCACCTTCAACCCTCTCTGAGAGATGAGCTCTTGCTCTCCTTACTTACATATTGTGGGTATGAGATCAAAAAGATTGGAAGTCCTGTATGACATTTTGCTTTTTCTGCATATCCTTGGGTAACTTGATTCTTTAACAACTTTACACAGGGAAAGTCAGCTGTGAATTCTTTTCTAAGGATGAAATGCCTGCTGAAGCCAAAGGTCATTTCACAGTGTACAGGCAAGTGAACATGGAGTAAGAAATTAATGATTTTAGTGATGCTTTGGTTGATTTGATTGACTGTTGTATATTTTCCCATGGAGGAAGAGGACAGACGTGTCACTCATGTCCCCATCATCCAGCACTATATGATTCAGGGCTGCACTCGGCATTTCCCAGCTTGATCTAGCCATGACTATACGAGACCCTAAGGACTGCTCAGACCCACCTGTCAGTGTCCTACCAGCCTCACTGGTCATAATAGTGTGAGTACAGCCCAGCCTAGCCCACCACCTTCTCCTTTACTGCACCTTAACTGCACCCTGATCAAAAGGTGCCTTCCCACTTTATGCTTCTTGGGGGTAGTGGCAGGATGGGACCTTGAGTCATGGTGGCTCCTTGCATGCTCGCAGGAAGTCTCATGGTTTACTTCAACCAAACAGGGAGTTCCTAAAACTGTCACACTCCTGTTCAGGTTTGGGATCACCATATAAAGAGTATGACTGTACTGTGAGGGTCAGGAGTTGGAACATGACATTTTGACCAGATTTAGGACAAAGAGATTGTACTCTGAATTGGCTTTATGCAGTCACAGGGGGATTTGCTGTGTGCCTTTACTGGCTTGCAAAGCTGATTTTCTTTGTAGGCCCCCAGCAAGACACTGAAAAGCAGTGCAAGTGTGCTCCAGAAGACTCTGCTTCTAAAGAGAGGTCAAAGTCAATTGTGTCACAGCAGAGCTTGTTGCCAAGTGGCAAGAAATTAAAGTGAGGATGAAATCTGCGTCCCAGCAAAGAGCAGAGCTGACCACCAAGCACATCAAGACATAAGCATCCTTCTCCACTGTGCTGGGAGAGGAGAGCCCTGGCATCAGGGTTTAGTCCTGCTTCATTCCTTTGTGACTCTCTTCTGGCTGTTCATGGCTAGTCTTTGCACATTTACACACATTGCAATCAGTAGGAAATTTAAGCAACAGGCATAGTCCATTAGAGCAGGGGAATTGCTGCAAACTAGTCTTTCTCCAAGGGAGAGTAAAGTGCTCGCCGTCTCTCTGGGGGACATCCCACATGCAGTGACAGGAGTGACTTTCATAATTTACCATGACACGTGACTCAGTGCTGCAGCCTGCATAGACTGCGGTCTAGGTCTTTGCTCGCGCTGTAAAATCCTTCAAGTTGGATTTAGCAATGGCACTGAGGTCAGTTATTACATGAACATCTTCCCCTGCGCTCCATTCCCAGTGTGAACACTTCAATTGTTTGGGACTTGATCTGATGGAAGCTAATACATCTATCCATGGCACTGGATAATCTGTCAGTTTACCAAGACCCTGTGTGGAATGTCTCATCCCCCTGTTAAATGCAGCATTTCACTTCTTTTGTGCCAGAATGCGAATCAAACTTTTAATTTTCATAAGCTTTTTCAGTGGGAAAAGAGGAAATGAGGCAGCACAAACTGCCAAGCAGAAGTAGAGTCAAATGAAATGACAGAGGGATCGAAAAATAAACTTGTAGCAGAGCTGAAAAATTGAGAGTGAGGTAAGGGCTAAGCTTCCCCTGCCACAATATCCAACTGGTGCATCTCCATTGTTCCATCTGTTCTGTTAGCAAAAAAAAATTAGCACAACAGTACAGTATTGGTAATAGGAGCAAGGTACTAAAAGGGACTCATTGCAACTGCAAGTCTTGTCCCCTGCTGTTGTTAGTAAACATTATGTACAATCCTCATTCAGAATATAATGAGAGCCATCAAAAAGGAGCAAGGAAATCTGGGCTAAACACAGTAAGGGGCTTTAAGAACTGCTTAGCTTGACAAGATAAATGGTGTTTTAAAGCCAAAATGGACTCAAA